CCAACAGAACTGAGTTGCTCGCTATTTATGCGAGTTTAGGCAAACTAATTAGCCTCTCTGAATCTCAGTGTTTTTATTTATAAAATGAGGTAAGTAATAGTAGCTACCTTGTAGAGTTGTTTTGAAGATGAAATGAGAGGAAATAATGCATGTAAAGCGTTTACTTGAAACATAGTAAGTGCTAAATATTAGCCATCGCTTTTGTCGTTGTTCCTTTCAAAACGCAGATTTAACAGACAGTCGAGTTGTGACCAGAAGGCTGTGCGGTGGTGCAGGGGACTGAGTTCCGGGGTCGTTCACTGGGGCCGGGCAGCGTGTGCCTGGAGGGCGGAGGAAGCTAGGGAAATGGCACACTCCTACGGACCCTTCAGGACCCTACTTGTATGTGATGTCGAGGCCACGTGTGACACTCCGGGGATCCCCCTCCTTAACCTTCCCTTCCCCACAGGCTTCTCCCACTTTCAGTCCTATGTAAGTAAGGGTGAACAAGTTCCTCTTCTTCAACCCGGCCATGAAATGGGGTGCTTCTCTTTGCACTTCTGCCTTCATATACTTCTCATAAGTCACCTCTTTTCTCCCCATGGCTTCGGCCATCAAATCTCTAGCTGCAGGCAACATTCCTCTGAACTCCAGCTCCATAGCTTAACTGTCCACTGAGCAATTCCACGTGCCTGCTCCAGGTGCCAAATGAAATGCCCCAAATGTAATTAGCGAGCGTCCCCTCTGTAGTGACAGTCTGGCCACTTCGGTATTCCTAAGGGACTGAGGCACCGAAGCCAGAATCCTAGAGTCATCTTTATCTCTAGCTTCTCTTTAAGCCTCACACACATCTGTCAACCTGTTCCTAACCATCTCTAATTGGGTCTTTCTCTCCAATCTCACCACCACAACCTTAGTAGCTCTCATCACTTTCTCTCGGAATTCTGCTCCAGCCACCAAACAGGACTTTCTGCATCCGGCCTTGCATACCTCACACCTGCTGATCTCACAGCCCTGCACGTCCTCAGCACTTAGAACAGTGCCTGGCTCGGAGTAGGCATGCGGCAAATACTGAATGAATGAGTGAGTGGCAAGCACCTATCCTTATGGAGTTTACAGTCCAGCCGAAAGATCCGCACAAAACAAGCAAGCACACGACATGAGACCCCAAGGAGCATTCCTGGCTCTCTTGGACTCAAAGATGTGTTGGAACCCTAATCCAGATGGGAGTTGCATGTTGACTGGCTGGGACTGCATTTCACAGCGTACCCAAGTGACTAGGAGAGGAAAGTAATTTACGCAAATGAGACCCAAGAGAACAAACACATCCGCTTATTCTCGTCTCTCTTTGAACGATGCCACCACTAACCTGTATGGACATGTAAGTTGCTATGATCATTTGGGCAGAGAGGAGTGAACTGAATGATTTAGGAAAGAGTTGGGAGTGATGGAATAGGTTTATATGTGTTTGGTTTTTTAAACTTTTTATATAGAGATCATTGTAGGTACACCCGCAGTTATGAGAAATACAGAGATCTCATTTACCCTTCATCCACTTTTCCCCAGTGGTAACATGTTACATAACTATGGGGGGGCGCAAAACACTGGAATTATCTTCTGGAGGGCGGGCCCCTTGTAATCCAGGCTTCCCCCACTGAGTGAGTGTTCTAGGAACCTGTCTGTATCAGTGCACCAGCTGGCATTACTATGACAGGCTGCGTTCAGCTTCAGTAAATTTTGTATAGACTAGACATGATTTCATGATGGGTGGTTTACGAGCTCACCTGCCCACCACTAAGAGTTCAGTTTTTGACCAAAAAATGGAATGATCCCCGTGCCCCACCCTCCCTATTCACTGGACCTCACTCCCTCCACCCCAGCGAATTTTTTGTTTGTTTGTTTTCCTGGATGAAAAAAGTCCTCAAAGGGAAACATTTTGCCCACGTGGAAGATGTGAAACAAAAAACGGCAGAAGCACTAAAAGGCATCAAAATTGAAGAGTTCAAAAACTTTTCTGACCTGTGGAAAAAACATCTTGATAGGTATATTGCATAAAACAGAGAGTACTTTGAAGATAACTGACATTTAAACATGTAAGAATAAATACACAATTTTTTAAAAACACTTTAGTTTTGGACAGAGGGGAAGAGAGTGAGAAAGAGAAGGAGAGAAACACCAATGTGTGGTCGCCTCTCACATGACCCCTATCAGGGACCTGGCTGGCAACCCAGGCATGTGCCCTGACTGGGAATCGAACCAGTGACCCTTTGCTTCACAGGCCAGTGCTCAGTCCACTGAGCCATACCAGCCAGGACTAAATACACACAATTTTTAATAAATAAATTCTGGGTTTGGGGGTGCCCCCCTTGTATAATACACACCCAGAAATTTGACAATACACAATCCACCTACCTTAGTTTACCGTGTACTCATTTGTGTGTGAGCACACGCACGTGTGTGCGGCCTCTTGGCATTTTGCAACACCTACCACCTGGCAGTTAGCCCCAAAACTGTACCCAGATGAAGTTAAGCCCTCAGGATATCGTGGCACCTTTTTTGTAAAATGGGGATGATTGGAATGTCTACTGCTCCGTAGGATGTGAGGGTTAAATAAAATGATAAAAGTAAAGCTCTTGGAGCAGTGGCTGGCACATAATAAACACTCACAAATGTTAGGTATCGTTATTATCGAAAAGCTGATTCCATTTACGCTATCTTCAAATCCATCTTTCCTATCATAAAAGTAGAGCTACAGTTACATCAGAGTAAGAAGGAAAAGGCAAAAGATAACATCTGAGTTATCTAACTTGCCTACCAAAATGGGGCTGTAAAGATGCAGACAAGAAAATCTAGACAAGTACAAAAAGTGCTGTCCTACAAGTTCGAAGGGGAAGAAAGGGTGAAGAGTGCAAACGAAAGCTAGGACAGGCTGGGACTTCTATTTCCCTGGGGCATGCAGGAAAACACTGTCACTGTCTTCAAGGGAAGGAGAACAGAATATGTCACTTTGACATTATTTTAAGTTCAAGTTACTAAAGAAACAGCCAGTGCAAGGACATGCTGACCCTCCTTTGTCCCCTGAAATCAAAAGATGAATCTCCCACGGGAAGGTACCCTCCCTGGACCGAAAGGGTAGAAGGCATTCTTATCACCAGAGAAGGGGAGTTCATGGCTGAGCAGGCCGTGTAAGCAAGCTTTACTACTTCATCACTAATTTGCCAAACCTCGTTGCTTTGCCAATTCTTCACAGGTTTACTGTCTCCTTGTCTAACAGGTGTAGATGCTGCCTGCTTTGGTCACTTCCAGGGAGTTCCCTATTTCCATGGGCTCGTGTACATACAAAATTAAATTTGTTTTTCTCTTGCTGACCTGTCTTGGTCAATTTAGTTACCAGAACAACCCAACAACATGGAAGGGTAGAAGGGAAAGCTTTTCTGCCCCTGCATGAGCAGGCTGTTTGTGAGTCTTTCCTGTGTAATAGAAAACCGCAGGCAGGAAGTGGCTGATAAAATCTATAAAAGAATGGATTTCAATATTATGAGCATTAACTCCTCTAATTTTCACATTGTAATCTCGTCTTGCCTTTAGCAGACAGCTTATAGCTACAGCATCCTTACTTTGTAGATGAGGAAATTGCTCAGAGAAGTTAAATCCCTCACTTACTCAAGATCACACAGGCTTTCATGGTCAAGGCCAGGACCCAAACCCAGCTCTGGCTCTTTTGAATTCTACATTCTTTCTCAACACCACGGAACCACCCTTTTTGCTAGCTTTCTCCCAATTTCATTATTTTTGCCATCCATCAGCAGCATGAATCATTACCGCCTTCATTAAAGCCATGTTTTCTCACTCCTTTAGGTAAAGATGTCAATATTTTCTGTATGAGCAAGGAGAAAAAAGTTCAACATGAGCTTTTGTTCTTAATTGAAATGATTCTCAAGATGATGAGATTGAAAAACATTAAGCCCTGCTTAAAATACAGGGTTGCAATTAGTTTGTGGAGATGTTCCGCATCCTTCATTTGCCTTCAACACAGTCAGGCCCGATTTTTTAAAAAAGTTATCTACACATAAAGTCTGAAAAAATTTGTTGTGCGATGCGGTAGTCACTAGCCACCTGTTGGCTATTGGTTATTTAAAATGGGCCTAAACACAACTGAGATGCAGAACGCGTAAAAATACACACTAGATTTTGATTAACGTGAAAAATCGCATTAGTATTTTGTACTTATTGCGTGTTGAAATGATACCATTTTGAATATAGTGGGTTACGTAAAAAATACATTATTAAAATTCATTTCACCTGTTTCTTTTTACTCATTTAATGTGGCTTCTAGAAAACGTACACAATTAATTACATAAGTGGCCTGCATTTGTGGCGTGGACTATGTATTTATTGTACGACCCTGGTAGAAAATGAGACAGAGAAGAGTTTCATCCCAAGCTAGTGTATTTCCTTAAAATTTCCAGAAGGGAAGGTAAAAAGGAAGAGACTGAGGCGCGGCCCCAGGCGCTGTGATCTAGAGTTACATGGCTGCAGTGAATTAAAAGGCGGGGGGGGGGGGGGGGGGGCCTACCTCGGCTCTTTCTGCTCCCGCCCCTTCCACGAAAGAATAGGGTGGCGGAGCTTCCTCCACGGGCGGCGGGCCGCTCAGCAGCCCACAGTGAGCCACACACCTGCGCGCCCACCGAGGTGCGCGTCCGCGAGCCCGGCCGCCGGCCCCGCGCCCCTCCCCCCGCGCTTTTATTTTCCCGGCATCAACCGTCAGCCTCGCGCTTCTCTTCGGAGAACCACGGCGTAGGTCGGGCCCGTCTGGGGTAAGCGACCCTGTCCCCGCGCCCGTTCCGCGGCGGGCGGGAGGGTCGGGTCCCAGACGCCTCCCGCCGCGGGTCCTGCTGGGCCGCGGCTGCTATTCGGTCGCGAGCTGAGCGGCCGCGGCGGACGCGCCGGGGGCCTCCGGGCCGCGGGGGGCCGCTGTGACCCGCCGGGGCCCCGCAGCGCCGGAGGCGGGGTAGCGGGCTTCTGGGGCTAGTCGGCGAGCGGCGGGGAGCGGTGAAGGAGGGCGCTCGCGGCGGGTGTTGCAGCTGCCGTCCGCTTCTCCCGCGGCGCGGAAGACCGAGCAGGGCCACCCGCCTCCCGTTCCATGAGGCCCGAGTGAGCGCGCGGCCCGTGGCGCCTCCCCGCGTCCTCCCCCCAGCGCAGAGCTGCGCGGCGCCGCGGCTCCGGAGAAGCAGGCGGAGCATGTCGGACGGTTTCGATCGGGCCCCAGGTGCTGGTCGGGGCCGCGGCCGGGGCCTGGGCCGCGGAGGGGGCGGGCCTGAGGGCGGCGGTTTCCCGAACGGAGCGGGGCCTGCGGAGCGGACGGGGCACCCGCCGCCGCAGCCCAAAGCCCCGGGCTTCCAGCAGCCGCCGCCGCTGCGCCAGCCCAGGACGGCCCCGCCGCCAGGGGCCCAGTGCGAGCTCCCCGCCGGCCCCCCGCGGCCCGCGCCGCTCCCAGGTACGGAGCCGCGCCGCCCCGGTTCTCCGGGGCCCCCGCGCGCGCTGTGTCCCCCTCGCCCCGCCCCCGAAGGCAGCCCGAGGGCCCGGGGTTTCTGGTGGGGACGGCCCGAGCCGTCGGGAAGGTGGCTGCGGGACTCCTTTGTGCGCCCCGCGGGGGAGGGGCCGCGCGCGGGCTCCGAGTGCGGAGGTCCGGGTAGGAAGTAGCAATTCGCCGCCCCTTCCCTGGCCCTCCGAGGGGACATCTTGGGTGAGCAATCACCTTTTCCTCACCGACTCTTTTAGAAAGAGAGCATCCTTCACGCATCCGCGGAGGAAGAGGGTGTCCCCAAATGAGCGAGGGCAAGTCTATTGTTCTTTTTTGCAGGCTCTCCGTACCTATCCTAGCTCTTGTATAACTAGTCCTTCTCAAATGGCTTTTCGCTGCACAGTAAGTTATTGAACAAAGGTATGAATGCATCTAACGCCCCCCTTTTTTTCCTTCCTCAGAACAAGAGAAAGCCCAGGACAGTATTTCCCAGCAGAACTCAGAGTCGGCGATGGCTAAACCCCAGGTGGTGGTGGCTCCTGTATTAATGTCCAAGCTGTCTGTGAACGCCCCTGAATTTTACCCTTCAGGTTATTCTAATTACACAGTGAGTACACCCTTTAGTACAACTCTAAACTAATGTGACTGGATAATGTGGTTGTTACTTCATCAGCCAGAGCATACTGCTCTTTTCTGTACTGCACAAAAAAACCCGAATTCATTGAACTCAAGAGGAAACAGTACTGATTCAGGAGTGTATTTTGTAGTTACATTCAGGGCATCAGTGTAAGGTGGACAGTAGACTCTGTTCTCTTCTCTGCTGTGTTCTCAGCATCTGCAGAGTCTCTCTAGTCTGGTAAAACTTGATGTGGGCAAGGACCACCCACCTTCAACTTATAAAACAAACATTTTTGTCCAGACTTTATGGACAACCTAAAAAATAGGGGCCCGACAAAGCTGATTTTTCATTTGAGTTTAGATTTAGGGTAAATCAAAGTGGTTTGGAGGCTAACTAATTTGTGTAGGTTTTTGAATGTTGAGAAGTTCACATCTGGGCTCGTAAAATAGAAGTGTTTCTGGTTCTAATTAACTCCTGTTGCACAGAAATGTGTAGGGGTTTTTGATAAAGTGTCTAGGTAGGTATAAACAACTCTTACAAGCTTTCAGACTGATCTTTGTCAAGAATTTTTTAATTGGTCACATTTTTCTTCAATACCAAGACAAAACAGCACAGTTGGGGTGTATAGAAAGGAATTTGTTCTACTAAGTAAATGCATAGTAATTAGTAACAGATAAGTGGGGCAGGAACCATTCTGTATTGAAATAGTTAATAGTCTAGTGTTAGTCCTACCTTTCCTATCCCCTTAGCTTTATTGACGTATAACGCAGAGGATGGTGCATATACGGGCCAGCTCGAAGCTTCAGCACCTGGGCACCTCATATCCAGTCAAGGAAAGGAACATTATCGACATCCCCAAAGCCCCCTCTGTCTCCTAATATTTGTTTCTCACTTCATTCAACATCAGAATTCATCCCTGTTGTGGCAGGTGATTGGAGATGACTTACTGTCACAGGTCGCTTACTCCACTGTGTGACTTACCGCAATGCCCCTTGTCTTGAACGTTGGGGTGGCTTCCACTTTGGGGCTGTTATGTATAGGGCTGCTCTTCTTGGCCATGTCTTGGTGGACATTCACCCTTGCTTCCGTGTGGTCTATACCAAAGAGTGGAGTTGCTGGGACCCAGGGCAGCCAGCTTTGGCAGAGGCTGCCGGCCAGTTTTCCTGAGATGGCCCCTCTGCACGCTTGGGCAGTGGGGTTTCCAGGTGCTCTGCTTGCTGGGCCTCACTTAGTATTTTCTGTTTTTTAAGTTGAGCCATTTTAGTGTGTGTGTGGTATCTACTTGTGACTTTCATTTGTATTTACCCAGTAACTAATGGTAGCACATCTTTTTTTTTCTTTGCTTCCATATTTGAGAGGAAGTATGGAGAAGCTGTATTTCATGCTTGAGAAACTCCACGCATTAGGAAAAAGCTTTGGGGCTGGAAGGGGAAAAACATAGGCATAACAGACAGAGCCATTTACTTGGGTTGAAAGGAGCTCTCAGTCCTGTACAGTAGAAGTTGAGAGCAGCCTGAGTTCTTGACAGAAGATTGTGTTTGGCCCAGAGACTAAAGGCACCATTGGAGAGCCGTGAGTAGTTGAGTAAACTCTTACGGGTGCTTATCTACTGACAGCACAGAGACCCCGTCTGTTCACGACTGCCCGTTGGCTGAGCTACTTCATGGTAGGAGGGGCGCCATTTTTTCAGTTTTATGTAGTTCAGGTGATTCCTGGGCTGGCCGTGGAGCAGCGTGCTGAGCTGCATCAGTCACTCACTTGGAGCCTCTGTCATCTTTAGGCGTTTCTCGGTGACCTCCGGCACCGCTGCCCTGCTCAGTTCTCCAGAATGGGTTGCAAGCTGGCAGCCTGTGGCTCACATGAGGCCTGCAGGTGTGCCACCTTCGGTCCTGTTTTTTATTTCTTGAAAGGATTTTTAGCCCTGGCTGGTGTGGCTCTGGAATGAGTACCAGCCTGCAAACCAGAAGGTCACCAGTTTGGTTCCCAGTGGTGGTTGGGGCCTGGGTTGCCTGGTCCCCAGTTGGGGCCTATAAGAGGCGGCCAGTGGATGTTTCCCTCACGTGTTGATACTTCTCTCCCTCTCTGTCTTCCTCCCTTCCCCTCTCTAAAAATAAATAAATAAAATCTTTATTTAAAAAAAGATCTTTAATAAGTTACCGACACTTAAATTAGATAGTGCCCATCTGAATTTTCTGGTTTCTCTTGAAATCGTAAGATCGGTCACATTGGATTATTATTTTGGTAAAACTTGGCTGAATAGAGGCAGCCCCTTTAGATGGAGTGTGTGAGCTCTAATTTGCTCACTGGCTTACTTCACTTATCTGTAATACACCTGGATTTTTATCAGCACTCAAGTTTGCTGCCCTGCCCTGGTATATTCTCTGGCCTTTACCCTTTAACCATCTGTCAAGGCTAAGTGTTTTTTACAATCCCCTAGTCCCCTCTTAGGATAAGGTCTTGCTGTGAGGGAAACCTCTCCTTATAGTAACCATAATCCAAAGTGAGCTGCGTTCACTCACTCATTCAACAGGAGTTGAATACTTGTCCTGAGTCAACACTAGGGGTACCGCAGTGAACAAAAGGGTCAAAAATTCCTACGTTTGTGGAGCCTCTGTTCTGGTGGACTCCAGGCTTGGTCTCCAGAAACCCCTTGAGTCTGCTTTCATTAGACACGCACAGCCGTTGCTCGGTGTCCTCAGCTGATCTGCTTTCCAGAAAGTGCGCTGCTTCTAAAAGCCAATATCGTTCTCAACCTTTCTGAAACCCTGGGCCCTTTTGTTGTCAGTCCTTCTCATCGCTGCTAGAATTTCCTGCTCTCTCTGCCTTCTTACCAGTGAGTTTCTGATCCCTCCCACTGGCCACTGCTGCTGCTCAGAGAAGCGATTACATCTCCAGTAGTTAACCACAGTTCATTTACGAGAACCAAAAGCTCCACGTAGGAATTCATGGAGAATTTATTATAAGACAAAATTCACCCCCCCACACACACACACACACACACACACACACAAATCCCAGCTTTTTTCTAAGAACATGCACTTTGAAGTCACTGCCCTGTTTTCCTCTGCCTTCCAGCAGCGATGTTCTCCGAAATGTAAAGTTAGTTGTTCACAGTTGGTGCTCATCTCACTGACTAGTCAGACCTCTGCACACTGACGCCCCTGATTGTACTGACACTGTTGTGGGGATACTTACTGCTACTCTCAGCTCTAAGACCTGTGACCCTCTAAGCTCTCATCCTAGGCTTTGTTGACCACAGGATGACCTGTGAGTCCCAGCAGGTCACAGTGTGCCGGGTCCTGTGCTAGGTGCCAAGGGCACATTTTCAGTCTTTCAAGGTCCCTCTTAGTTTTGTGGGAACCGAACATTCAAGGTGATGATTTTTCCCTTCACTTTCCCTCTCTGTGCATGGTCTCCTGCACTCCACCGACTCTGGCCATCGTTCTCTCAGATTTCAGCCTGTGAACCTCTGCCGCCTTCGACGCTGTGCTCGTTGGCCAGTGTCTTTCTTCATTTCGAGGCCATTCCTGCCACAGTCTCAGGGGATCGTCCTTCCATTTCGTTAGCTCATCTGACCACGGCCTGCCTGTCTGCCGATAACTCCAAAATCTGATTTTTCCACTGAACTCCATGCCTTGTTTCCATTTGTTTTGAATTCTTCATAAGGATCATCTCCCATCCAAACTCAAATATAAAAAAGAATTCATCTTCTGCAAACCTCTCCTGATGTGTTTATGTCCTAACTAGCTGCTCAGGCTACAGCGTTGGTGGTATATCTGACCTTCCTCTTTCGTACTCCAGACATTGCCGTCCCGTTAGCTAAAGTGCAGTTGACCCTCGGACAACATGAGGGGTACGGATGCTGGCCCCGGCACACTCGAAAATCCATGTAGAACTTTGATTCCCCCCAAATTTAGTGGTCCCTCGGTACCTGCAGGGGATTGCAGATGTGAGCATCCATGGATTTTGGACCCATGCGGATACCGAAGTCCATGGATGCTCACATCCCCTGTATGAAGTGGCGTAGAACACTGTGCACAGTCGACCCTCTGCATCCCTGGATGTCCATCTGCAGACTGAAAACAGAACAGGGGTTTCATCAGGAAAAAAGCAGCCGCATGTAGGCGGACCTGTGCAGTTTGACCCCGTGTGCAAGAGTCAGCCATCTTCATGACCATTCCAGCTTTTGCGGGTCTGCTCAGCCGCCTTTTATTCCAACCACTTTGGGTTCGGTTCTCATTTCATCAGTGTGTTCAGAGTACCTGCTTTGGGGTAGTGGGTTTTCTGATACCCTTCCTAATCTGTCACAGAGTTCTTTCTAAGAAAATAAATAAAACTTAAATATTTCTCAGTCTGGAAGCCATTTAGGTCCACATTGAAGACTGAAGAAATCTGGCACCAAAGAACTAAGACAAGCTCAGATTCACATATATTGGAGTCTTGTTTGTTCAGAATACCTGCCTCCTTTAGCTCAAAACAATAGGCCCTGACTCCCATTCTGCTATATTCAGAGAAGCTCTGCTTTCATCTTCAGAATTTTTCTGTTTCTAATCCTCACCTGAGGACATTTTTTCATTGCTTTTAAAGGGGGGGGGGGCGTAGAGAGGGAGGGAGAGAGAAGGAAACAGAAACATGGATTGGCCGCCTCCTCATATGCACCCTGGCTAGGAATCGAACCTGCGACCTTTCAGTCTATGGGGAATAATGCTCCAATCAACTGAGCCACACCAGCCAGGGCTCAAATTTTCTTAAAACAGAGTTTTGCCTATTAAAAAATTAAAATTAATGATCTAAACTACTCATATATTTTGCCACAATGAATAACATCTGATAGAAACCATTAGGAAATGAAAACCTTCAGCTGGGACCTGTAGACTTCCTGCTTGTCGTGATTAATAATAATAGATACTACTGATCTGTAAAATAATAGGATCTGTAAAACTATGTATCAAAAGCTTACTTGGTTTTTAATTGTAAAATTCCCACATGTATGTGGTTAACATGAAATGTATTATTTAATGTATGTATTTATAATGTGTGACTGCTTCCACAATTGCATGATAAAGGATCATGTTTATAACAAAAACAGTTCTTTACAGGTAACTACCATTATCCCTTGTTTATCTTTCCAGAGGTTCATTACCTCTAAGTCTCTTTTTAAAAAAATTAATTGTACTAAAATATGGTTCTCTATTTCCATTTCATTTAATGCTACATTGGCGATATGTCTGTATTGATTTTTGTAAATCTTGTTTCCTTCGGTAGCTATGTGATATTCCATGTATAGATCCATAAGGTGATGTATTTAACTACTTCCTTGCTGATAGATGGATGGTTAGATGAATTTTGGCTCTGAGTATCTTTGTACTTGAGTCGAAGTTGGCGTTTGAGCTTCTTTGTTGGTCATTTGTGCAGCACAGAGGCTAAAAGGGAGGCATTGCTCTGCACTCAGGTCTAGCTCTGTGACTGCACATGAGTGACCTGGTCCTTCCCGGCTGAGCCCACCCCAGCAGCCGCACTCCGGCTTTTCCCCCTGCCTTGTGAGGCAGGCTCCTGAGTGCGTTTGCCGTCACCCTCCACGATCTTCCTGTCTGTCTGATTGGTCATTAGCCACCGCCCCATCCTCGGTTTCTGTGTTCTGGCCTTTCTCTCTCAAAGGTGTCAGGCAAGCACCTGTCTCTTGGGGCCTCTTTTTGTTTCAGTTTACACGTTACCTCTTCAGGATCCTTCCCTGACCTTTTTTTTCATAGTATGTCTCGCTATTTGAATAATGCCTCCCATCACAGAATAGCGGGTCCACAGAGGAGGACTTGGTGTCCTGTGTTCGGCCCTGACAGTCCTCCCCGCACCGAGGGCAGCCCACGCCAAGATGGTTCCGACTGAGTAGCCTGCCTGCACTGGTGCCGTCACTGAACTAGTCAGAGTATCATCCCAGGTACCAAGCAGTGGTTTCTTGTCATTCTGCTTTTTACGCCGTAGCCCTTTTAGGTGTGACGGCAAGGCAGTTCCATTCGGCATGTGCTTCAGTCTTTAACTGGAAGTTTAAAAATTTATTGGTTGAGCACTTAGTGCCTTACTTTGTGCTAGTCACTGGTCCAGGCGAATTTACTCATTAACGCTCTTAACTGATTAACTCATTTACTGGTAATCCTCAGTCACACATCTGTTTGGGATTCATGAATTTGAATTGCATCAACATTAATTAAATTAATGTTGCTTGACTTGGATTCAGGCCTGTGTGAGATCAAACAAATACGTGATGTGTGAGTTTGCCTGCTCTTCTCAGTGAACACTGAGCACGACTTAGGCACTGCTAGGATTCCCTGGTGCCTCATGGCATGTTACATATCAGCTTAGTGTCTATAGGTACATAAAAACTACTTGTCAGGGCCTCAGACCACTGGAGAAACGGTTTTCTGGGTCAGACTTTCCACCAAGATTGTCCATCTCCAGAAAGGAGCTTTCTTTTCCTAAGGGGAATTTTGACAAAAATATGTGTGTGTGTGTGTGGGGGGGGGGGGTTGTGCACTCTCTGACTTAGAACTTAACCCTTTCTGTAGTCATAGTTCTAATTCTTTCATATTGGCTTCTCATTTGACTCCTTTTGGAAAGGGGTAAATTTCATCGAGCAACGTGGCTGCCATTGGAGCATGACTGTTAAGTATAGTCCAGGATGCTTCGGGCGGGACCCAGATGTCAAGATTGTAAGCTGGTGCTCTCATCTGCTACCTTTTGCAGTGCTCACCTGCTCAGCTTTTTGCCATTAATGAAAAGGTTGGGAACTTCCAAAGGTGATAGTGGTGGATATATTCGTTGGAAAAAAAGTTCTGTTCTCAAGGTTGGCTGGAGACCTGGACGTGGCACTGTACGCTGTGATGCAATTTGATAGTCACTTGACTGTGTATTTCCCTGTCCTTGGGGATTAACAGATAGATGACAGACTGACTTTTTCCAGTTGGAAGTTGGCAAATACCCACCTGAGAGTGGAGAGTGGTATTGTGAATCCTGCTGGCCTGGCCAGCTCGCTGCATGTGGCCATTCTCAGTTCTGTATCCGTGGCCCCTCCTCACCTCCCACTGCAAATCCTGGGTCTCACTATATCCATAGACAGATTAAGATGGTGATTTTGATATTGGTATTATAGCAAAACATTGGTTTAAACTTGATTTCTCGGCCATCTTGCATATCCATCAGGGATGAGAAGACAATTCCCTACCAACTAGATGGAACCCTCTGTTATAACATTTTTGGCCATTGGACAAGGAGGAAGGATAGTTCACTGGATTTAATTTTATTGAAGAAAATAACACATTTTATCATATGAAGGATTCTTTAAAAAAAATTATTTGTGGGCCCTGGCCTGGTAGCTCGGTTGACTAGAGCATTATCACAATACGCCAAGGTTGTAGGTTTGATCCCTTGTCAGGGCACATTCAAGAATCAACCAGTGAATGCACCAATAAGTTGGAACACTTTCCTATCAGTTAAAAGAAAATCATTTGTGCTAGAGGCATCTCAGCTTAAAGCTGCCTCATCTTGTTTTAACCAGTTGCATGGATTACAACTTTTTCTTTCTAACTTTGTAGGACTCCTATGAGGATGGTTGTGAGGATTACCCCACTCTATCAGAATACGTTCAGGATTTTTTGAATCATCTTACAGAGCAGCCTGGCAGTTTTGAAACCGACATTGAACAGTTCACAGAGACCCTGAACAGCTGGGTTACAACTGACGATGCTTTGCAAGAACTTGTGGAACTGATCTATCAACAGGTAGGTTGGCTGATAGCATGTGACACTCGATGGTCATCAGGTAGCTTCCTTGAAGCACAAGGATGGCAGCTGCTCCCGGAGGGAGGACACGTTCATGTTCACCTGCCTGCACACTCATTACCTGCACACTCCTGTTCATGGAGCACAGGAGCTTTTTAAGTTTGTGTTGTGGAAAACGCCTGTGGTAGGGACCCAGGGCTGGGGCCAGACTGCGGATTCTCCTGTGTGGCCAGGGCTCTGCGCAGGCCGTCGGGAGGAGCTTTGAGCACTCGTGAGGAGGGCTCCTATAAGCATCGTACCTTTCCCATCCCTTTCTGTTTTATAGGACCTGAAATTACAGTACATTAAAAAGCCCACAGGCCTTTCTCCTAGATGTCGAATAATACAGCATTATTGCAGTAGGGCAGAAAAGAGGTGGGAGCATTTTCTTGCCTTATAAATGAGTCCTCTAAAAACAAAAATCCAGATCACAAAGCACCCTGTCTTGTTTTAACATTGCTGCTTGTATATAAAATTCTCAACAATTTGCACCTTAATTCCTTGAAAAGCTAATGTCTGGATTGTTTTTTCACGCAGCTTCGTTTTGATCCTGGCGTACTGTCCCTGATACGTTAACTGCTATTTTAAGAGGGGGAAATCGACAACCCTGGATTTTTTTAGACATGAAGGTCATGTGAGACTGACCAAAACAAGTAGGAAATGAACATAAATAGAGCTTTGAGTGTTCTTCCAGTCACTGTAAGTGAGCAGCCCAGCTTGGAATGTGTGGGTGATGGTGAGAGCAGGCAGGTGGATGTGTCTGCCGCCTCGCGTCTCTTGGGCTACGTTTCCGGCTGCTTCTGGGTTGTTCTGGGGCCCCAGTGCGCTGCAGCCGGCAATTTCCAACCCTTCTCCTCTCCTGGCACACGCGAAGTAATCACTAAAATACTGCAGCACACCAAAAAAATATGTTTTGTTGATGTGACAAAGAAAACAATAGGTGTAACTTTGATTCATCCATACCAGATGGCTGTTGTTATGTTGGCTGTTGTCATTTTTTTGACAGTCTAAGGGAAAAGAGGTCATTGCCCTCTGACTAAACAGTGTGGGGTGTTACATGGTTTAAAATTTCCCGCACCGCACTGGCTGAAAGTCGTCCTAGCCAATTCTTCAGGTTTCTGGAAATGCTTGGGATTTTAGGAGCATAGAGCGCTCTGTTTGTCCTCATACCTACTCTCTGCCTCTAAATGGATCAAAAAGAATGTGAGGGAGGGAAATGGAAGACTTAACATTCCTTAAACCTTTCCTGGTTTCTCCTCTGTTGAGGTCCAGCCGTTCACTGGGCCGCCCGACCGTGGTTCTTCAGGGCTGGGCGGGAGGGCTGCGCTTGTGGCAAAGCCAGTTCTGCCAGCGTGTACTCAGTGTTAAGTTTTAACATTGTGCGGTCGGTGATGCACAGGTTTGCCAACAGTTCCTGAATTTCCTTCTCTCTTTTTTTAAAGATTTGATTTATTTTTAGAGAGAGTAGAAGGGAGAAAGAAGGAAAGGGAGAGAAACAGCAGTGTGTGAGAAACATCAATGAGTTTCTTCTCAGCCTGCAACCCGGGCATGTGCCCTGACTGGGAATTGAACCAGCAGCCTTCTGGTTCACAGGCTGGTGTTCAATCCACTGAGACACACCAGCCAGAGCCAAACAGTTTTTAAATTTCATCGAGGGAATTAACTCACAGCAACTGAGGAAGGAAGACCTATTGTGGGGAAAAAAATAAAATGACATTAAATATCCTCAACTTTGATTCCTCCCCACATACCACTGACGTGGCAATACAGGGTTTTCGAAGGCCAAAAGCCCACAAAGACTGGGACGGGGAAAGGAGATGGAAATCCCGGTTGGGAGACCGCAGACAGGAGGGGTGCGTGGTAACGGGTCTGGCAAACCTAAATAAGTCGAATTCCGGACCGGTGAGGGTAGCCGAGAGTCTCCCTGGTTTGTGATGCAGAATTTCAAAAAGATAAGGATCTAAAGGAATGAGGCAAAAACATTACAAGAAAATCTAAAAAAAAGAGTGGACCCTCTAGATAATGTTTGTACCAAGTAGCCAGTTTGAAGTTTTACTGGAACTGTTCTTGAGAAGTTATGAAGAGGGTACTCCACCAAAACAAAGGAATTAAGCCAAGGACGACGACATGGGGGCTAGGAAACGGGGTGTTTTATGGAAGTGTGTGTCATCCAGGCGATGGTGACAGGCGGTCCCGAGATAGTGGCCATGAGCACGACCTTCCGGGGGCCGGTCTCACTGGGAAGGGGCAGATGCCCCGGGAAGGTTCCCTGGTGAGGTGAGCACAAGGGCTGAGAAACTGACAAACGAGTGAGTTTAAGAATAAATCAGTGAGAAGTGTATAGAAAACAAAGTATTAGGAAAAAGAACTGGTGTCTAGGTAAAACAGTTGTACACAAAAGCTGTAAATGGAAACACAAAACTAGTAAGTAAAATCGTGATATTACCATATTAGTAGATGCAAGGGTGGGAAAACAGTGGAATGGCGTGAGGTTGAGTGGGGTGAGAACTAAGTGCTCATCTTCCACGGTGGGAAACTGGTAAGAAGTAGTGTCTCAGCTGGAAGGTCCCAGCTCACACAGGGGTTAAAACCTTTGACCTGCGAGAATTGAAAGAGGTCCGAGGGAGTCCAGGCGAGGTGTGGTCAGGGAGCAGGAACCTGCCGTAACAAGCCTTGTAGAACTTCTTGACTTTACCTGGTGTGCGATCATTTTTTAAGTAAACCAGAAACAGGTAGTGCCAATAACTTCAAGTCTTCTGTGGTATCAGACACACAGTCGTGACGTCAGGAGAAGCCAGTCTTCCTTGAGAAATATTGAGGGTCCTGGATGAGCAAGGCAGTAACTGGAAATGGTCTAATAATTACAAAGTGCTCCCACCAGTGATGCTGAATGCTCAACGCGCAGTCGACGCATCTGCTCCTTCCTCAGTGGTTGTGTGACATTGCTCTTACACCCATTTTATATATATATATCTTACAGTGAAGTGAGGCGATATTTCTAAGGTGACCACAGCCAGTGATGAGACCACCACAGGGTCACAAGGGGACTCTGGTTAACTACCTTTGCGGCCTGGGCCAGTCCCTTTACTTCTTAATGTGTCTTGTTGTCTTTCCTAACATTTTGTAGTGAACTCTGTTCTCTGCTATTTGAAAACTACAATGAAAGTTAAACTTCTTGAGTACTGCTTTGGCAATATCATACAGTCTTTGATAGGTAGTGTTTTCTCACTGTCTTACTTTTTTCAAATGGCTTCTTTTAATTTTCTCTTTACCCCAAGCGTTTTTGAAGTGTTCTTTACGTATTACTCTCTCACATCATGTACCATTAATCGCCTCTTTAGGAATCAAGAAACCGAAGCTCAGGGAGGTTTAGTGAAGTCGGGCCACAAAGCACAGGCCCGGGAATCCCTTTCTGGATGACCAGATGCCAGAGCCGGTGCCTGCCGCTAGTGAGAAACATCACAGATCAGTGGTTTGGCAGATACTCTGATTCATAGTTGGCACTGTGCGGCTGGGTACATGTACATATTTTGTGTAAAAATGGGTTAGTACAAAGAGATAAGTGTCTGTTTGTCTTTTGGTAACTTCAGGTAAATGATGGGGGAGAACTTACCTTAAATCTTTTTCTTTGTACTTGTTCTGGTTCTTGGTATAAGGTTGGGTGAGTACAAACGGTTTTTTCCTCTCTGAAATGTTGCTGTTTGCATTTATGACAATGCGTCTGTATCACATAAAACTTTTTCTTTTTGAAAGGCTACATCTATTCCAAATTTCTCCTACATGGGAGCTCGCCTGTGCAATTACCTGACGCATCATCTGACAATTAGCTCACAGAGTGGCACCTTCCGCCAACTGCTGCTTCGAAGGTCAGTGTGAATGCAGGAAATTAAAGGAAAGCTACTTTTAAAGGAGCTAGAATTTGACTGTTCCTTTTTTCCCAAGACCGCAGGGCATAGGTAGTTGCGGGGAAGAAGAGAACAGACCCTGCCGACTCGTGTGGTGTTGAAAGGTCACACGCAGTTGCGTGTCTGTACCAGTCTTTTTCTGCAGTGGTCTCTGCCTTTGGTTCTGTGCTTAGGAAAGCCTTTTCCAGGTTCTGAAAAAGGGTCACACGTGTGTTTCTTTGCACTTTCACACTTGGGGTTTGAGCAAGGGTCTGATCTATGTCTTGCCATGTGTGGCCAGTTTTCCCCAGACCACTTTTGTGAATGATCCATTTTTCTATTGATTTGAAATGCTTGCTGCCTTTATCAGCCTGTACCCTTCTATTTGGGTTTTGATGCCAACTTCCATTATTTTCCATTCATCACTTGTTTTATCACCTTACTGTTTAAAAGTACAATTAGTTGTTTTCTTGTTTTGTTTTGTTTTCTTTTTTTAAGATTTTATTTATTTATTTTTAGAGAGAAAGGGAGAGAAAGAAACATCAATGTGTGGTTGCTTCTTAATACGCCCCCTGCTGCGGACCTGGTCCGAAATGCAGGCATGTGCCCTGACTGGGAATTGAACTGGTGACCCTTTGGTTCACAGTCCGGCACTTGATCCACTAAATCACACCAGCCAGGGGTAGAAAGTACATTAGTGTTTTAAAGATACTTTTAATGGTTGCAAAATAATTTCATTGTGTGGTTAAGCTGCACTGGAACAGGATAAAAATTCCAGAAGTCACTTCAGAGACACTTGAAAATCAAGCTTTAGGTGAAGGTGGTGCTCCAGACACACGGGCACGATGTCAGCTGTGAAGCCGACACAGCTGGCTGGCTGGTCGTTGGGGGGAAGTGAAGCGAAGATGGACCCTGTCCCTGCACACCGAAGTGTAGTTCAGTGTATGGAGAGATGTGAGTAAAAGTGAATCAGTAAATAGTAGGGGGGGAATTGGCGAACAGAAATCTTAGGCTGGTAAAGCCCTTTTAAGTAAGATAGGGTACCCATCTTCGCCTTAAAGCAAAGATGAAACTGTTTTACGCATAGCGTATAGTATCTTGGGGGGTCATAAATTTATATGAACTAAAGTGAAAATAGGAAAATATATAATACATGGTAATGAGCTCATTAATTTAATATGAAAAGAGAGGCCTCTTAGGAATGAGTAAGAAAAAGACCACTATTTTAATAGAAATATTTGGAATGGTTCTGAATAGGTACAGTTTGGAAAAATATAAATGATAAACTTTAAAAAGATGACTAACCTTCCCTATAATTAAGGAACCACAAATTAAAGCTTCTGGAAAGATGTGAGAATGGGCACTTCTGGGGGCAGATGGCAGAAAGGCTCTCGTACCCCCTCAGGGCTGCCTACCCTGCTGTGCCCTGAGGTGGGCTGAGCCCCTGCCCCCACTCGGCGAAATTCTCATGTAATGGACTGAGCTGGAGCCCGGCTTGGTTTTCAGAACTTCCCGAGTCTCCGCTGTACCCCTGGGTAAGAACCCCTCCTCCGACTCTTTTCCTCTTTGCCCGCATGAGCTTCTGCAGCGCTGATACTGTCAGAGATGTTCACATGGGAAAATGCTCATCATACAAGGACAGAAACAGGACATAATCTATTACCTAACTTAGAAATATACACACACTTGAGACAGAAGTCACCTTCACAGCAGTTATCTCTGGGTTGCAGTGACTTTGTTCTTTATTTTTCTCTGTTTTAACCTTTCTGAAATAAGCGTGCTTTTATAATTGAAACTCTATAGCTTGAAAAGGTTTAGGTTCTTTCCTTTCACCTAGATAATCAATAATGTACATGAGTAGGAATTTGCTTTTGCACATATATTCACCTGTCTTAATGTAAAATAGTTATAGCATTTATAAAACAAAAGGTCATTTCATCAAAGATTTTACCTGCAAAGTCATAAGAGAAAGGACAGAAAAAGAGCAGCCACAAGGCGCTTGGATAACTGAATTGGCGTTATTTAACTGAGTCTTTCCATTATTACACGTAGTGTTCTGTTTAGAGAGATGCGGCCTTTTTTCCTGATGAGGAATGACTACGTATGAGTGGGTAACGAGCACCTTCATGTCTGACTCCTGCAGGTGTGCTCGTTTAAGCACTGGACTCAGCCACAGAGGTGCACAGGAAGCTGTCTTTTGGGGTTTATTTGTGGTTGATTCATAAACTGGCCCCAGGACAATTCTTGGTCAAGGAGTGCCTTTTTTTTCTTTTGACAAAAAATGGCAAACTAACCTGGTCCCTCAGGAATGAAAGCCAGTCTCCGTAAGCTCCTCCTTTGGTATTTAAAAGAATTGTCAAGATCAATTTCATAAAACATGACTTTCCAGCTTTTCAACACCTTAATAGTGAAGATTTTAAAAAAACATTTAACACTAAAATGATAAACAGTTTCAGAGTCCATTTTAAAAATCGGGATTAGCAGTAGCCAACACCATTGTTCACTGACACGGGCAGTGATGGGCTTGCTGTGGTGACTTTTGTGTATTTTATCTTTGCCCAAGGACACGCTTGTTGACTTTGGGGGGGGTGGAGAGACATGGACCAGCGGCCCCGACTGGGGACCGAACCCATGACCTGTTCGGTCTGTGTGTCACTACTCTGACCAACTGAAGCACACTGATCAGGGGTCGTTGCGATGATTTTGGAAATCCTGTAGGAACTGTGTCCATAAAGCTCTAAGGAGACAGCTTCTTTTTGTTATTATGTAAGGCAGATGGACCAAGTTTGGGGAAAATAAGTTATTTGACTCTTTCAGTCTCTATTAGAAATAGAGACCAAATTAATCGCTTTCTGTGTGTCTATTCAGGTGGGGGTTTTTCACCTCATTTCTCCTCCTCTGATTTATATAATGGAAATTACAAGGATAATGGGCTTATTAATAAGATCTGTTTCAAAGCTAATCCACTCAGAAAGAGCGGCCGTTTTACAGAGAGACAGCTTGGCATTGTGAAATCAGTGCCAGTAAATATGAACCTCATAAAACTTACAGTGTTTGAACTTACTACACCTTGGTCTCATAGGCTTATTTTCTACTGTTCTTACAAGTCTCTTAAAACCAGGCGTCTCAGTATGAAAAGATGGTGCACAGTCTGACCTCTATAATAGACAGTCACACTTTTTGTCACAAAAAGGCTGGGTGTTGGCGTGTTAACTCATCTCTGTGTTGCTTGTGGACGACCAAACTGGCAGATGGTCATCTTGTTTGATTATTTACAAAACAAGGCTATGTGAGATTATAAAAGATTTATCTTTATCAGATGTCGGACTGAATATGAACTTAAAGATCAAGCTGCAAAGGGGGATGAAGCAACTCGAAAACGATTCCATGCATTTGTGCTCTTTCTGGGAGAACTTTATCTTAACCTGGAGGTGAGGAGACATTTTCTTTTGCTAAGTACTTTTGAGAACAGTGGGATCTCAGGAAGGAATTTGTGTTTACACTGCACTCTTACAGCATTGGGAGTGAAATGGGAGAGGGAGAATGGGAGAGAAAGAAAAGAATGCTTCAGCGCCCCCTTGTGGTGGCATCTGGACTCCAAGGGAACGGTAGTTTTCCTGCTCGAGGGCGAGGTGCTGGGAAGTGGTTTGAAAGTCTTCACGTCCTTGTGCAAAGCCATGGTGTTCGGTGCATGTTTAAGCTTTTGAAATGTAGGCATTCTTGCTGTTTTGAATTCCTGCATCGGGAACGTTAGCACACAGTAGGTTGACATTCAAATGGCGGCTGAAAAGCAGCTTGACCAACGGAACACAAGGCTTTGAGAGAGGAGGTAGAGGGAGACTAGAGTTTCTGGGTTTTTCCACCTAATTCACCCAGATTAGTTCTTGGTCCTGTTACATATTAATCTTCCACATAAAATGCATTTGTATAAAATACACAGCTAAACTTGTTTGCACATTGGTGGTTTACTTGAACATGTGCTTGTTAACAGGAAACTTAAGTGTTGGATATTACTTTGTAATGGATTTGTGTGATTTGTGTTTTGACGAGTCTCAGATACGGGTTTATCCTTTTAAACCGTGAACCAAGGTTTAAACTGTTAACCAAGATTTAGTGCCATAAACACCACTGAAAAGACACATGAATCCACTACCAAATAAATGTGTCAGTGCATCTAAAGGTCTGTGTGCAATTTAGGGCCTAATTGACTACTGCTTTTTATCACAAGGGGCTTATTTTATAAAATTTCCTGTCTTAATCTTTTTCAGTTGGTTACTTAAGCCAGAATTAAGAGTACAGTCTAAAGTGTTCCTTGAATGGACGGCCACTTTAAGGATGCCACTGTGTTCCTCATTGGAAGCACCGGTGCTCTGTGGGGTGGCGGGTACGGGGGACTGTGGACAGTGGACAGACTGGGCATGGCTCTGGAACCTGCAGTTCTTCCATCTGGAGAGCTGAGACAAGTAAACCATCATCGTGCAAAATCATTATTTTAAACAGTTATAAACAGCAGTGTAAAATTGTGCATTCCCCCAAAAGATGGTAGCTTAATAAACTGGAGGTGCTTCATGAAGCAGTAACATTCAAGGAGACTTACATTATCTGGACTGTATGTTATATGTGATAAATGAAAAATTTTACCTGTAGTTTACTAGTCTCGTTAGAAATGTAGTTACGTGGAAGGTAAGTAACGTTGTGAAGATATCAGGGTGTGTTCCTATGATGTCTGTATTGTTTTAACACTTGTCAGACCAACACTTCGTCAGACCATTTATATGTCGTATTATGTTTTGGCATACTTGCTTACTTTTCTTTTGTCCCAAAAGATCAAAGGAACGAATGGACAGGTTACAAGAGCAGATATTCTTCAGGTTGGTCTGCGGGAGCTACTGAATGCCCTCTTTTCTAACCCTGTGGATGATAACTTAATTTGTGCAGTAAAATTACTGAAGGTAGGTTTTCCTTTTCTTTCCTTAAAGTGTAATTGTTCTACTCCTTTCATGTATAATTTGAAGAAAGTATTACTACTTTAATTTAAATGTTGACATTTTACTTTCTTCTCTGATTTAATATTGGAAAGCAATACATACTTATGTAGTGTAAGAAGCAGATTTTAGAAGTGGAAATCCTTCGCCCTTCCTCTTTCCTGTGCTGTAGGTGAGCTCTCATAAGTACAGTCTTACTGTGCTGCCACTTGTTTTTTACCACCTACCGAAGATCTTAGGTCTTTGTGTGGCATTGGTTTACTTTCTGCGGTAGCCTCCAGTGCTCCATTGTTTACACGCACATTGTATCCATTCTATCATCTAGCCGTTGGGTGTTTTCAGTTTGGTTATTTCTCTGTAGCACTGTCAATAAGCATGTCTTTTTCTGTGCGGTTATTTTTTTTTATTTTAAAGTTCAGATTTTTATTGACTGTGTTACAAAAGAGGTTTAGTCAAATAGTCCAAAGCCCATGTCATCATCAGACTCCTCAGATTCTTCTTTCTTTGCTTCCACTTTCTTTTCCTCAGCTGGGGCAGTAGCAGTTGAGGGAGCAGGACCTCCTGCTGGTGCAGCACTAGCTGCTGGGGCAGGTCCACCAGCCCCTACATTACAGATGAGGCTCCCAGTGTTGACATTGGCCAGAGCCTTTGCAAACAAGCCTGGCCAGAAAGGTTCAACATTTACACCAGCTGCTTTAATAAGGGCATTGATCTTATCCTCCGTCACCGTCACCTCATCATCGTGCAGGATAAGGGCCGAGTAGATGCAGGCGAGCTCCGATATGGAGGCCATGGTGTAGGCGAAGGCTGGGCGAGCGCTGCCGGCAGTGGTGCTAGTCGCCGGATGAAGTGAGGGTCTCACCCCAACGCGGCCTTAGCTCCCTAAGAAGGACAGAGCACCTTAGTGGCAGCTGGGGAAAAGAGCTCTGTGCGGTTATTTATGAAGGTTAAATTCCTGCATGTGGGTTTGGTGGACCAGAGAGTGTGTACCCTAATTTGATGAGTACACATGTTCCTTGACTTAGGATGATGGGGTTACATCCCACTAAGCCCATTGAAAGCTGAAAATATTGTGAGTTGAAAATGCATTTAATACACCTGACCTACCAAACAGCAGAGCTTTAGCCAAGCCTACCCTGAATGTGCTCAGAACACTTGTATTAGGTTACGCTGGGCAGAATATATAACGCACAGAAACACAGCAGGCTCCATTTCTCACCCCCATGATTAAGACCCTGCCCGGGAGGTATAGCTCTCGCCACTGTCCAGCATCCTGTGAAAGGATCATACCGCATTATCGCCAGCCTGGGGAAAGACCAAATTCAAGGTAGTTTATACAGGATGCTTACTGTTTTTGAACCATTGCAAAGTGTATAAAAATTATAAGTCTAGCCTGGCTGGTATAGCTCAGTGGATTGAGCGCAAACTGCAAACAAGAGGATCACTGTTTTGATTCCCAGTCAGGGCACATGCCTGGGTTGCAGGCCAGGTCCCCAACATGGAACACGTGAGAGGCAACCACACATTGATGTTTCTCTCCCTCTCATTCTCCTTCCCTTCCCCTCTCTCTAAAAAAAATAATAAAATGAAATCTTTAAAAAAATGTTTAAGTCTAACATAAGTTGGGGCCTTCCGTAATGCCGAATTTCTCTTCCAAACACTCAACTGGAGGGTGTGCCCACAGCACTGAGTGAGTATACCTCTTTCCGCCCGCACCCTTCACAGTGGTGGATACAGTCAGTCCTGGGTTTGCTTCTGTTGTAGGTGCTGAGTGAGAATGGAAACCTCATTTCAACTTGCATTTTCCTGATCACTAGTGAAGTTAAGCATTTCTTCATGTTTATTACACACATGTTTAATTTCTGTGTGTTACTTGTTTATATCCTTGACTCATTTTTTTCCTGAAGTTTTTGTTCTGATTGAAAGCTTCAATATTTATTGCACCCTGCATGTATCAAAAAGTGACATACTGGACTTCCAGCCAAGACGGAGGTGTAGGTAGACACCATGTGCCTCCTCGCACAAGCAAAAGAAGGACAGCCACAAATTTAAAAACAAAGAACAACCAGAACTAACAGAAAATTAAACTATGTGGAGGTCTGACATCCAAGGAGTAAAAGAAGAAACATTTATCCACACCAGTAGGAATGGTGAGGTCGGGCAGCCAGGCGGAGAGGACCCTTGGCAAGGCGGCGGCTGGTGGACCCAGCAAGTCAGCAGATTGCAGACCGGGTGGCCCCACATTCGCGCACAGATAAACTGGGGGGAACTACTGGGGAGCAAGACAAACCCACAACCCAGGGCTTCAGCGCTGGAAACAAAGCCTCAAACCACTGATTGAAAACACCTGTTGGGGTTGAGGAAGCAGTGGGAAGAACTCCCAGCCTCACAGGAGAGTTCCTTGGAGACACCCACAGGGTCCTAGAACGTACACAAGCCCACTCACCTGGGAATCAGCATCAGAAAGGCCCACTTTGCTTGTAGGTCGTGGGGGAAGTGACTGGAAGCCAGCAGACAGCAGAGCAAGTGGCATTGTTCCCTCTCAGACCCCTGCCCCAAGTACAGCGATGTGGGTTGCCCTGCCCTGGTGAATACCTAAGGCTCTGCCCCTTACTAGCAACAGGCACGCTGAGAAGGAAAAAAAAAAGCCCAAATGAAAGAACAGTTAAGTGCTCCGTAAAAAATACAATTAAGCAACTACAGGATAGCCAACCTGTCAGATACACAGTTCAAAACACTGGTTATCAGGGTGCTCCAGAACTCACTGGGTACTTCCACAGCATAAAAAAGACCCAGGCAGCAATGAAAGTTGTATTATGTGAAATAAAGAAAAATCTGCAAGGTACCAACAGTGACGGGAAGGAAACCTGGACTCAAGTCAGTGGTTTGGAGCAGAAGAAAGAAACATTTCATCCAGAACAGGATGAAGAAACAAGAATTTTTAAAAAATAAGGAGAGGCTTAGGAACCTCCAGGACATGTTGAAAGGTTCCAACATCCGGATCATAGGGGTGCCAGAAGGGGAAGAGGATGAGCCACAAATTGAAAACTTATTTGAATAAATTATGAAGGAGAACTTCCCCAATCTGGCAAAGGAAATAGACTTTCAGGAAGTCCAGGAAGCTCAGAGAGTCCCAAAGAAGTTGGGAGAAACACACCAAGGCACATCATAATTAAGTTACCCAGGATTAAAGATAAGGAGAGAATTTTAAAAGCAGCAAGAGAAAAGGAGACAGTTACCTACAAAGAAGTTCCCATTAGACTGTCAGCTGATTTCTCAAAAGAAACCTTGCAGCAGGCTAGAAGGGGCTGGAAAGAAGTATTCCAAGTCATGAAAGGCAAGGACCTACATCCACGATTGCTCTATCCAGCAAAGCTGTCATTTAGAATGGAAGGGCAGATAAAGTGTTTCTCAGATAAGGTCAAGTTAAAGGAGTTCATCACCACCCAGTCCCTATTATATGAAATGTTAAAGGGACTTAGCTAAGAAAAAGAAGATTAAAAATGTGAACAGTAAAATGACAACAAACTCACAGCTATTAACAACTGAACCTTAAAAAAAAAAAAAAACCCTAAGCAAAGAACTAGAACAGGAACAGAATCAAAATGGACATCACATGGAGGATTATCAGTGGGGGAGGGGGAGAGGGGAGGTACAGGGAATAAGTAGCACAAATGGTAGGTAGAAAATAGGGGGAGGTTAAGAGTCGTATAGGAAACGGAGAAGCCAAAGAACTTATATGTACGGCCCATAGACGTGAACTAAAGGGGGAGAGTGCAGGTGGGAAGGGGTGTGCAGGGCGGAGGGGAATAAAGGGGGAAATGGGGTAACTAATAGCATAATCAATAAAATATATTAAAGTGACATACTGATTAAAGATTTTATGGCCTTAGTCATACCGGGTATATACCACATAATCATTGACACACAAAACCTGTAATTAAAGTTTTATGGTACTTCCTTAATTTCTCTCAGTCAAGAAAAACATAGACAACATCGAGGTAACTGAGTACTAGATGGTAGAGAACAAGCAATAGGAAATATATAACTTGTTTAAAGAATGCTTGAAGTGCTGCTAATGTATTTTTAGAACATCTGTAGTTTATTGAATTCTTTATTTTACTGAAACTGCGCTTTTTCAGTTGACAGGGTCAGTTTTGGAAGACGCCTGGAAGGACAAAGGAAAAATTGACATGGTAGAAATTATTCAGAGGATCGAGAACGTTGTCCTGGACGCGCACTGCAGCAGGTAGTACCGGGCCTCGCTTCGCCCTGGGGGTTGTTTTTAATCAGCTGTGCTTATCAGAACCATGGACCTCGTGCAGGTTGATCGACAGAAACGGTTTCTTCAAAGGCATAATAGTTTACCTGTGGCTTCTGCTCAGCCATTTTTCTTTAATAATTTAGTAGATATTTGGGTGACGTACTCTTATAAGGAAGTGTAGAAATGTTTGCAGGATGGCCGCTGCCTTTAAGAACCATATAGTTGGTTACATGAAACAAATTTCAAGTCTTTTTAAAGTAAATTTGTGTCATTATAGGAAATGTCTAGAAAATCAAAGCATTGAATGTCCGTGTTAAGTTGATGAAGGAGTTTCGGGATTCTGCAGTGTTTTAGAGCCTCGAGAACCCCTCCAGTGCATGCACTCTAACTTCTCGACCTTTCGTCCGCAGAGATGTAAAACAGATGCTCTTGAAGCTCGTAGAACTCCGATCAAGTAACTGGGGTAGAGTCCATGTAACCTCGACATACAGAGAAGCAACACCTGAAAATGATCCTAACTACTTTATGGTATGCCGGTGTTTACTTGTTAAATTTTGCTTATTGCTTGAATTCAGTTTCAGAAATTTCCAGATGAGTCACACAAAGTTGTTCCCAAAGTGTAATGCCTGGTACCTTTTCATGGGTGTAGGGTCACATGGCAGCCAGCAGAACAGGTAGATAGGAGAAACATGGAGTCCTCCTGGGACAGGGTGGACTAGAAAGAGCCATGCAGTGGCAGGGGACATTGGCAAGGCTTGGGCTTGGGTGAGTATCGGATTCCAGGAAACAGTTTTTCCAGAGAATTCAAAACAAAGCCCTGCATCTCAAAGTTTAGTTTGTGTCTTTTCATACAGTAAACTAAGAAAATAAAAATGGTTGCCAGGCCAGTGGTGCCCTGAAGCTCCCAATATGACCAGCGTGAAGGAGCTATAGAGGAATTGCTCCCACAGCCCCAGTCTTGGAAATTCTTAAAGAAAAAAGTGGTGGGGAGCCGAGTGTGAAACCGCACGGCACAGCACAGCAGTTCGCCATGAGTGTGACGTGTCCAGCGCAGTGTCAGAACAGGAACTTGAGCGAATAGAATAAAGTCTGAAAGCCATAGAGTTTCCCAATGACCTGATACAGCTGCCGGGAAGTCAGTGTTTCACTTCCTTGTGTATTGTGTTACCAGATGCACGTGAGTGACCCGGCCAGGCTTCACTGATGCTGCGCTTTTAAAAAACCGATTGTGAAATGGTTACATACTTGTATCACTCTGTTTTATCCTAGAATGAGCCAACATTTTATACGCCTGATGGTGTTCCTTTCACCGCAGCTGATCCAGGTATGCTGTCTCAGTCATTTTCCCGGTTTGGGGTTTTTTGGGTAAGATGGTAAATTACAGAAAACTGTACCTTCTCCAGCACAAACCTAGCTTTTCAAAGAGTTCACATCATTCTAAAAGGGTAAAGGCCTATGTGATATAGAAAGTTCTTCGCAGTAACCACTTGGAACATTTTGAGTGGAACATCTGGGCTCAGTATCTAGTGTCTTGTCACTCTAACAGTGAAGAATTAGAAGAATCCCTCAGTTAAATGTGACCGTTTTTATTTTGTATTTCCTCTAATATTTTGTTTTCTGTAAACTTTGATGTGATTAAAGTGAAAGGGAAAGATGGCTCTAATTCACTACATAGTCAGCAGCTTTCATTAATATGGGCTAATAGTTGCAGATATTAAGAATTACGGATGTCGTTAATACTTGGTGGATCAAAGTTAACAGAAACCTAAATGCCTTCATGCTTCCCCTTCCAGAAGAGGGCGTTTGTAGAAGCACTGCTCTAATTATGATAAATGAGACTGCAGCGTGAGCCGTGGAGAAGTCTTCTCCACCTGGCACAAATAAACCAGCGGAGGGTCAGCGTTTCCCCGTGTTCTCTCTGGAAGGCAGAGACCCCCGACTGTCGCTGCCTGCAGCACAAGGAGGCAGAGAGGAGGGCTGGTTACTTAGCTTTAAATTAAGAAACATTCAAAAATGCAAAAACCGCAAACAACTGACCTGTTGTCTCATAGTCAAGATTAAACCAAGCTCACTTTGCCATATTACTGTGTGTTTTGGGTCTTTTTAAAGAAATAAAATGCTATAGACAGTACTAAACCATTTTTCTTCTTGTTGACCCTTCACCCCCAAGTTCAAGCTTCCATCACTTCTCTCCCGAAGGTGACAACCATCCCTACTTTGTGTCATCGTGATGTTTCTTCACTTCGTATTTGTCTGTAAAGTGCTGGATTGACACAGTAGCTTTAACCCCAATGGTATCTTATTGTACACTGCCTTTTGCAACTTATTTTTATTCAGTATTATTTTTGTTACTTGTCTGTGTTGATGGATATAGCTTCCTTTCCTTTAAGTGCCAAACAGTACTCAGACTAAACCACAGTTCCTAGGTCCCCTGTGTGGGTGGTCGGGTAGTTCACACTTGTTCCTACAGACAGTGCTGCGCAAACATCTTTAAGGCCCTGTGTACCTTGTGAGGAGGTAGAATTGTCACGTTATGGGTTGTTTTGTGTCTTCAACTTCACTAAATGAAATTAAGCCTGCTTTTCAGGCAGTTATACCACTTAATGTTTTACAGCGTGTGAGGGTTCCTGTCTCATCTTGGCAAAACTTATTACCAGACCTAATTTTTGTCAGTCCAATTGTATGAGATTGTGAAATTTTATTTTCTTACTAATGATACTGAATTTCTTGTCATGTTTCTGTTGAACTTTTGATTTCTTTCTTGGAGAATTGCCTGTTCATGTTCTTTGCCCGTATTTCCATTGGATCACTTGTTTTCCTTGTCGTTTTGTAATTCCTCGCATAGCCTAGAAAGTAATTCACAGTCGTTTCCCAGTATGTGCGGTTTTCCCTTTTGTCTTAGTGTAGAGGAGCTTTGAGTTCAATGCAAACTAAATTATGTCTTCTTTGTGCTCTGTGTGACTTAGTCTCCTTACTACCATCAAATTCCATTTTCTTCAGTAAATCTCTCATTGTTTCATTCTTAGGTTTTGGATCTGGCTAATTTTTATATGTGGGACACAGTAGGAATTAAATATTTTTTCCACAGTCTTCATGTCAATGGGTGTTGAATCATTCTTCCTCTTTTAGACAAAATGTTCCTGTGTTGTATACCATGTGACTGCTCTGTAAACTGTCTTATTCCTCTGTCTATGTGTGTCTTTCTTCTCTTTGAACACCAATACCACATTCTTAATTGTTCTGATCTTGCCTGTAAATCTTAGTCTGGTGAGACAAATTTTCCTTCTTCCCTTGTACTTCAAAGTTACTTCATTCCCTGGTGGTTCTTTGTCATCTTTGATCCATTTTCCTATCATCTGTTCGGTCCACACTTTCTTTATGACTGCTGTAGTGTTTAAGTGCCTTTCTTCTTCACAAGAACTTGTGCCTTGGATCGTAGGATCATCTATCCAGCGTGGGTTTTATATTTACTGCTGGGAGCCACAGGTACAACAACAGTGGCTTGAAATAAGTTTTTATTTTCTTGTCATGGGTTTTTTTTAACATAGATAGTAAAAATTTGAGGTGTAGGCTTATTGTCATAAATTCTCCAGAGAACCAGAGTGCTTCTACCCCCACCCCAAACCCAGACAGGCATAACCAGACTTCTTTGCCACAGAGGTCTTTTACTTTTTTTTAACCTGGTTCATCTTTTGCTAGAGATAATCAGCCCTTTGAATGTCCTGGCTTTGTACAGAGTGAGATGAGTGTGGGCATGGATTCCATCTGTTTCAGTGGGCCCAGGACCTTTCTTTCGGTTTAAAATCCAAGCTCATTTGTTACCACGTGGTCGGCCAACTTCCCAGCTGCAGTAACTGTGTGTGGCTTTCAGTTCCCTTCTCGTTTCTGTTGTCAGGAGACTTGATGTTTTTTGTGACCTCATCTATACATTTAAAAAGAGTGTTTGTCTTACCAGATACCTCAACTATTGTTGCAGGAAGGTTTAATAGTTCAAATGGTCTCCAGATTGCCAGAATTGATTCTCAAAATGCTGCTGATCCTTTAAACTGGAATTAAAGTTTTTACAGTAACTGACAGTCCTGGGAAAACAAGGTCTTTACCCAGTCAAATATAATTATATTATGCTCTTGAAACCTGAGGTGGCCATTCACAAGAAACTAATTTTGAGGTAACAGTTTGAATATACACTGATCCATTTTACTATTCAGTGGCAAGGACTCCATACAGGCATGCTAGTCTTCTAAGAGACTCTAACTGCCCATGGCAGTTGGCAGATGGAGCGCTGTACTATCACTGGTGTTGCCTAGGAAGAGCCCACTGTACAGCTGAAACATTAGATAGCCACCTTCCAGCTGTGTCTAAGGACAGGGAAGAAAAGAAAAAAATGCCCTGTGTGCAGAACCTCCATTAGGGCAGCCCCTCTGATTGAGGACCATGGGCCAGTGGCTATCACCTGCCAGGCCGATGGATGGCTCACTTTACCTCCTTGGGGAGGAATAACAGAGCTGCAGGTCGGGTTATTTGAATGAGATCTCTCCTTGTGGAAGGAAAACGGGAGAATGCGGGGAGTGTGTTCTTCCCCAGCAACCTGTACAGCTGGTGTTTTGTCCGACGGAAGGATTCGGGAGAGAACGTGGACAGCATGCACACAGGCCAGGAAACGTGCTCTGGTGCATTCACAGTGGCTCTGGCTCCCAGCTTAGAGGAGAATGAATATGACTAAGCTTTATGAGCATGCAGAGGGGCAGAAGCAAGCGAATTAGAGTATCAGTTTTATAAAAGCTATTTTTAAGTATGTAATTCAGCTTACTTGATATTGATAGATAAGCATAGCTTACACATATTTAAAATTAGGGGCTACTTTAATGTCATAATACTAAAAATTAAGAATAACTGGACATTTCATATGAATTTTTCAACATTCAAATTTTTCCTGTTATTTATTTACTTTTTGTAGATTACCAAGAGAAATATCAAGAGTTACTTGAAAGAGAAGACTTTTTTCCAGATTATGAAGAAAATGGAACAGATTTATCAGGGGCTAGTGATCCGTAAGTTATCTTTAGCTACTAACTTTATTTGTGAAATTTCTGTGGCCATAGCTTACATAGAGAATTTAGGATAGAAAAACATAGATAAAAGAATGTGCATTTTGATTTGATGGTATTATGGTATATATGTAGTACTTATTTACTGAAAATTTTCTGATGATCATGTTGAAAATCACACACACTATGATTTTTAAAGCTTATGTATAGTTGAGGGAAAAAACTATTAAAATGTAGTATACTCAAGCATAATTAGTTTTTATGAAAGTCTGTTATCATACCTGATTTTAAAATAAGTAGCCCTTAACACCGTAAGATCATGGGTAGGTTACTCCATCTGTGAAATAGGAAGGGCAGTGCCCTCCTTGAGGTTTTCTGAAAACTGGAGGAGAAGACAGTGCCCTGGCCCAGAGCAGCAGACACCAATCTGAGCTGTTACAGGATGAATTCAGACTGAAGACAGCAGATGACGACATAAAAATGTCTGGACTGCCCTAGCTTATGCCGCTCAGTGAACTGAGCCTACAAACCACAAGGTTGCTGGTTTGGTTCCAAATCAGGGTACAAGCCTGGGTTGCAGGCCACATCCCAAGTTGGAGGTGTGCATGAGAGGCAACCACACATGGATGCGTCTCTCCTTTCTCCCTCCCTAACCCTCTAAAAGTAAACAAAATCTTTAAAAAGTTTTTTTTTCCCCAAAAATAAATAAATAAAAATCAAGATTTTTGGATTTATGGGAAGATATAAGTTATAGTCCTGTTGTCATATTTCAGTTTCTTACCTGCCATGGAAAGAAATTTTTGTATTACTGACTTATCATTAGATTTAACTACATTTTTTTATGGAGGAATTAAAAGTTTGTGAGGATTAGTCCCCACTCTGTTAACAGCTTACAGGAATTTGGACAGGCTGCTTGGGGCTCCCTTCTTCCTGAGCAGTGGGAGGAGTAGATTAAACCTGTGACTTCCATTTTTCTTACATACCTTCTCTCGTTGTGTGGGCTTTAAAAAATAGTTGAACCACTTTTATTCTCTTCCTATCTAGTGACATTTTAAGTCAGTTCGAGGTCTTCTAATATATAGTGCCATACTTATTAACTAGTTTAATAGTAAAAAGGACAGGTCCGTAAGGACCTAAACACAAGCACAGCTAGGGAAGGTCACGCCCTGCTGGGTGTACCAGTGGAAGCTCACAGACAGTAGCACCTGCCTCTTTAAGATCACTGTGGGAATTCAGTAGGGTATGTATATATGAAAGCCTTTGTGGGCACTAAACTATGGAAAGCCTAGTTTTCCATCATTTTAAACTACTGAGTAGTGGGGGGGAAATAATAGATGATCTCGGAAGTAGCTTCTTGCTATGAAAGTCTGATTCCCATTGGATTATGACTTCCATTGTCATTGAAGAAATACCATTTGTGACGTTAAGTAGACATAAAATATTAGTGCATCATTAGAGAGGGATGATACATCTGAAATTATGTTCTAATTTTAGTGCAAGTGGTAACAAGCGAAATTTATGAAATTAATATCAGTCTTGATATCCCAACTTTTTGATACGTAAAACCTTTGATTTAACTTTTAGATTAGGTTAAAGAATTTAACGTGTGTCTAAAAGCATAGCAGAACCTTCAAACAAAAGGAACTCAGGCCAGTGTGAAACTCGGCACACCGTACTAAGCACTTTTTGTTTAAGGACTGCATTTAATGTAATTATACAGAGTGCTTGCATTGTTAAACTCATTGCAGGAAAGTTATGTCAGGTACTTTTTGTTATGGCTTAGTGTCTTACAAAGCTTTCTGCATTGAAAAATATTAAACTTACAAGTCATCTTTGCTTTTTTCATAGGTACTTGGATGATATCGATGATGAGATGGACCCAGAGATAGAAGAAGCTTATGAAAAGTTTTGTTTGGAATCAGAGTGTAAGCGAAAACAGTAAAGTTAAAGTTCAGTGTATCAGTTTTATAAACCAGTGTAGGTTAAGGTGATTTAGCAGAACACAGGACAGAAAGAAAATTGTGTCACTTATACCAAATTAAGGATTTTAAGTTACGTTACTAATGTATGCAACTTTAATTTTGTTTAACACTATCTGCCAAAATAAACTTTATTCCCTATAACTTAAAATGTGTATATATATAAAATAGTTTATTATGTACAGTTAATTCCACTGTTTTGGCTGCAATAAAATCGATTTTGAAATAAATAAAATGTTGAAAGTAAATTTTGCTAGCTGGTTAGAAGCTTATCCTATAAATTCAGCTTTTCTTGAGGGAAAAAGTCTTAGTCTGGAAATACATGTTACTGCAAAAATGTAGCATCCTTCTTTTTGGTTAAATTTGTACCTTCCATTAGCTTTACATTTAGTGTCTCAGTGAACTGGGTTTCAAATATGAATCAATCATAAAAATCTCTGGCACTAAAGTCTTAGAATATATCATTAAGTGATTTATATACCCAGATGTTATTTGATACCAAGGGCTTTTAAAATGTCATAAAAAAAGAGAACTCCCAACTAAACAACCAGGATTCTTCACTGAGGATTTATTGCAATTCTAAATTGCTCAATTGTTTTCACCCAACTTCATTACTCAGAAGCCTAGGACATTATTCTGCTTTATTTATAAGGCTTTCTCATTTTTATTTAGTAGCATGAGTTGCATTGACTTTTTTACTAGAGAATTTTGCTAGATCTTTGTCACTCGGTTTTCATCTCCTTTATAATTGATACACCTTGAGGATCACTTTTCTAATACTTTTGCTATAATGTGGTACCACCTTAGTCCTATTTTTACCTAATGTCAGAAATCTTTTCCAACTAACTACAAGTAAAACTTATGTACAAAAGGATTGCTTGTAAATATGCATGTAAATAGTTCTGTTAATAACCCCCCTGTTTTACATTTGGTACACCTGTGTCTGCTACTACAGTTGGCTTTCTCACTTTTCTGCTTGTTTGTTCAGTCTGGATTAAAATTAGACTTTGAAAATAAATTTGAAATGTTTTTGTTTTCTCTAACTTTTTGGAATGGTATCCTGGTTTTTAAAACAATTTGTGTTGAACTTTTTTAATATGACATTGTAAAATTATGGTTTGAAATCAGAAACTGTACTGGTATAGAAGACAGTCTATCCATTGTCTCTTGAATAAAAATTCAGTTCAATAACTAGTTGGAAAAACTGGCAAATGTAAAACATTAAAACTTTTAGATTCTTCATTGTAAAAGAAGTATACAGGGTGGGGCAAAAGTAGGTTTACAGTTCATATGGAAAAGACTTATAATTAGTAAATAATAATACAAGAATAAACTTTTGTGTACTCACAACTGTAAACCCACTTCTGCCCCAACTGGTATATGCATTTAGGGTTTTTGGAACTCCTAATAGTCAGAACTCTTTTTTTCTAAATGGCTCCTATAATGTGGTGGCTGTTACCGTAATCCACAGCTTTCTAAAGAGGGTGCTCACTGCCTCTGTGAGGGCAAGGAAAGGGACAGGACATGAGGCTGGAGTGGGGGGCACATATATGCTAACTGAATACTTTAAACTTGTAGCGTTTGCTCTGTGAATAACATCAGTTGTCCTTTTGTCCACTAGCTCATTGCCATCTACCCCTGCTCCTAACAGCCTCCAACGTGGTCAGTGTATCTGGTAGTTACTGGTGCTGCTTAAAAAACTACCCCAACTTAGTCTTCGTACATAAGCACTTTATTGTGCTTATGGATCCTGTGCCTCCTATTCTAGTGTTCGAGGCCTCGGCTGGGAAAACTAAGGACTGGGGTATTGGGGTGGCTTGAACAGCTGAGGTGATGAGAAGACATCACCGGCAGAGGAGGGGTGCCCGTCCCAGAGGACGCAGGAAGAGCCTGCATTCAGAGGCTGTGGGCAGCATTACCTCCACTGTAGTCTTTTGTTCCAGCCGCTGAGGCCACATTTAACGGGGCCATCGGGGAATGTGTGGCCATGTTTTAAAATTGCAACAGTACATAATTAAAGGAGAAGTTGGTCCTATGCTACTACAATCAGACTTTAGGATTACTGTATCTTACAGAAGTATGAGTCAGTCTTAGGTCAGGATTATTCATTATTAGTACAAGTCTGCACAGAGGACACAAAGGAGCCAGTGAGAGCCATGCTTACGGCAGTGAAGTGCAAATCCTGGTCTGAGCCTGGCGGTCCTGTCATCACCTCAGACCCTCTGTCTTTGTATTCTCAATGCCCTCAGCCAGAGACTGCCAGGAACACACCTGACCCTGAACACGCTGGGTTTAGTCCTGTAGTAAGGCAGAATATACACTATGGGGAACTGTGGGTTGTGTAAGAAACAATAAATTACAGGATTTGGGCTTTGATGGGGTGATTTGGGAGTCTAAGCAAGGATGTCCAACCTTTCGTTAGAGTCTCTGGGCCACACATCAAGTACACAAACACTAACAAAAACTGATTAGCAAAAGAAAAGTTTTAAGTGAATTTATGGCTGTGTTGGGCCACATGCATAGCCATCCCAGGCTGCGTGTGGCCCACAGGCCACGGGTTGGCACCCCTGCTACATGTTATCAGAAAGGGGCAATTCTATAATTGGGTATTCTATTAAATCTTAATAGGGGACAGACAGGTACAGATTAAGTTGTAATTTATTTGAAAAGGCACATTTAGCAAGAGAAGAGGAAATTTGGCTTGGTATGAAAGGAAAAAGTCATCCAGGACTGAAGGACTAAAAATGGACTCAAACTTGGTTGGGCGGGGGGAGGCCCTGCTGTTCACAGGCCAGGAGGACAGATGCAGAGAAGGCCCACTGCAAATCTACAGGAAATGTCTTTTCTTCCAAGGTCATGCGGCAACTAAACTGTCACCATGACCCATGACCCATTCTTTGTGTGACTGCTGCTTTGTTAACAAGGGCACCTCCAGACTTCTTTGCTGTCCCCACCCACCTATTCCTGGGGACACCCAGTGGCTAGACTGCCCTTGCTCCCCACAGCACCCATTCGAGTTAGCCCCTGCCTCTCCTCATCCTGCTGCAGAGACCACACCCAACCCAGAACTCATCTCTCTTCCGCAGCACCTTCTGCAGCACCTTCCGCAGGAGCCTGGACCTCCCCACCCCGACCCCCAACTCCCGCAGCTCCTCTGCAGTGCACCCCTGGCCTGCAAGTCGGTCAAAATTATTCTGACCAACTGCAGGCTTGAGCATATACTAGTAGTCTTTGATGACTTTGGCAGATGTAAATAATTCAAGGTCATGTGTGCTACTGCCATATTGTGTCAGCCTATCAAGATGCCAGACTTGGATGAACCCTACATGGGGGCTGCAGCCAGACAGCTGAAGTTCATATTTCTGGTAGGGTTATACCCCTATAAATTCATTGTCACCACCTTCATTTAGGCTGTCAGCACTGCCAATAATTTTACTGTTTCTTCATTCCTTTTTTAGACCCTCTTGATCTGCTCTATCCCCTAAATGATGACTCGCTTCACAGAAAGGAAAAAAAAGGCCACAAATGTTCACAAATGCATCGGCATTCATTTTGTCCCTCTTCTCGTACAGCACAGGTGGCAAACACAAGGCCCCAGGGCCGACCAAATCCCACCCTCCACCTTGTTTATACCCCATGGCAGTGCCAAGCTCCTTGCCCCTAGTTAAGGAGTAGTTACATTAACACAGTCCTAAAATTACATTTGGCCCTTCGAAGGTAACCGAAAGGCTGATGAGGCCCCCGGTGAAAATGATTTTAACACCCCTGCTGTACAGGAAGTACTGCTCCTATGAAAGGCCCGTTTTTAATGTGTTGAAATCCTATCCTCTCTCACTCCCATGAGCTCTATTAATTACTTGGTCTGTATTTTTTTATGTCTCCCCATTGGCTCTTTTGCATGAGCTGTTGAACATCCCCCCCCCCGCTTCAACTACTCTCTCTGCTTCCTAGTCAGACTTAAGTGTCATCCCAATTATTCAATTTCCTTCCCTTCTGTTTGTTCTTCAAACCCACTATAGCTTCTGCCCCCCATATACACAACAGCTCTCACTGGAGGCCAATGACCTGCATGTCACTATATCTAGTAGACCTGTCATTCTTTAGCTTGTTCTCCAGGTGATATCTGACACTGTCAAGTGACACCAAAATTGAACACCTCTGGACATCCAGAGCACAGTAGCTTGCCTTTCTGGTTCTGTGCTGTTCCCCGGGGTTTTTGTGGGGTTCTCGTCCCTCACCTCATCTGTACATATTGGTCTTCCTGAAAGCTGGGTCCCTGGCATTCTTTTCCCATGTTGCATTATTCTCGGACTGCAATCAGCAGTCATCAGGCCAAGGTGACCACCAGATCTGTTTGCATTCTGATTCTGCACCTTTGCTAACTTGTCATTTCCACCAGGAGGACTTACAAACTCGAAGTCGCACTAGCCTCAAAATTTGCTCGAAGTCACTTGCACACACACACACCCCCCACACACACTGATGGTGCTGCCTCCTAGCCATGTGCACCAAACGGAGAACCTGGAACTTTTCAACTTCAACCGTCCCCCTCAAAGCCCCACACTCAAGCACTACCAAGATTATATAGTTCATCTAACTATTCCCTGGAGCTGTGCTCTCCATCCTCACCGCCCAGTCTGAACTGCCATCTCTCTCTTCTTTCAAGGGCCTTCTGCTGGGCTCCCACATCCTCTCTTGTATCCCACAATCCATTCTCCACTCAGCTGTCCCAGGCACATTTCTAAAGTACGAAGAGCATCACATAACCCGTGAGTTGTAAAGAGAATTTACATCTAGGAGGTTCTCAGACACTGGAGAGAAAAAAGGTGGAGAGGGACAGGACCTGAGTTCCCACTGTATGATACAAAACTTCAGGTAAGGTTGAGGTCAATGTGTGTATCAGACGTTTAAAAAAGGAGATGGACTTAAGCAGGTAGACCTCTCCCCACCCCGTGGTGCTGCCACCTTTGCTCAAAGCCCTTGTAATAGTTTACCATTGCTTTTAAGATGAAGTCTGTAATCCATAAATTCTAATGACCTTGCCCTGCCTACCTCGTAGCCCCTTTCAGGTTTCTCTGCCCTAAAGGCCTGCTCTTTAATCCTTCCTAAACCAAACTGGTTTCCTGGCCTCAGGGCCTTAACCCAGGCCGTCACCTCTGTCTGAAACACTTCTCTTTACCTGGCTACTCATCCTTTGGATTTCCTCAGCCCAGATTAGGGCTACCACTAGATGCTGCTGGCACAGGCCGGTGCATTTTATTTTAGGATCACTTACCACAGGTCTGATCAAATTCCTGTCTAGTCGTTTCTTTCCAGTTACTCTCTAGCTCCCAGCCTCGACCTTGGGACCCCCTTCCTGCTTTCTCCCCAGCTTGCCTGGCGCAGAGCAGGCGCTCCGTAAATACTTGTTTAATGACAAGAAACAGCAGTCAAGCCTACTTGCCATTTTAGATACAGGTGCAGACACGAAAAGACATTTTCTGACACCAAATTAGAAGAAAAGGTCAAGATCTTCGTTAACATCCTTCTTGAGATGCAACCGTCGGTCGGTTACTTAAAGTAGCGTCGCTGCACCAGGGCCCGCCCGCGCGGCGGACCGTTACAAGCTCACTGCCACCAGCCTTCCCACGGTGGGGTCGGACTGCTTCTAAGCTGAGGTACCGGAAGTAACCTCGGAAAAGGAGTGGACGAGATTCCGGATTCGGACCCCCGCCGACGTTTCCCCACTTCCGGCCCTTCCCACATCCGGGAGCGCGAGGGGGCGTGGCCCAGGAAGAGGAGGGTGGCCGGGGCGGAACTTCCGGCTTTCCGCTTTCCAGAGTGGGAGGTGGTTGCCCCAGGGGGCGGGAAAGTTTGAATCACAGTTGTTTGCCAGCGCTTTCTCTACGGTGGCGTCGCCGGCCCTTGTCACTGCTGCTGCTCTAGCTACACAGGCCTGACGGACGCGTCGGACAGAACACTCTCCCAGTGGCCTTAGGCCTCCGCGGTTGTGATTGTTTCATCGAGAAACATCACTTGTTGGTAATTTGTTAAATTCGAGAGAAATTCCTCGAGAAGCAGTCATGGACTGGCGCTGCGGTCGGAGCCTTTCGGCAAGTTAAAGTGCAAGGGCCGTTGATTGGCTTCGTTTCCACGACTTTTCAGCTCGGAACTGCTGTGTGAGTTCAGAACGTTGTTCGCTTTGGGGAACTTTTTCTGTAACTAGATATTGCATCTTGAAGAACGAGGTTGCCCCGCCGCCTGGCTCGGCTGGTGAGAACGTCCTGTGACGCCGAGGTTGCGGTTCCCCAGAATCTATTTACGATAGATACGTAAATAAGCGGAACGACAAATCGATGTCTCTCTCTCTCTCTTTCCCCCTTCCTCCTGTCCTCTCTCTAAAACAAAAAGAAAAATTAGATTGATAGTGACATTAAGAACAGAGTTGTGGCTTAAAAAAATAATAACAGACTTGTGGCCTTTTGATCGTTAAACATACTCAGACGTAAGGTGTTCTAGGTGTTGAAAACAAGCAGGAAGCAGTAAGACAGTTGTGGCTAGAAATGTGGACTGGGGCAGATTTATGATATACCTGGAACTTTATACTTATGTTCTTGTGTAAACTTCTTATTAAAAAAATTATACCTCAATAAGCTGTTTATAAAGAAATAAAAACCTTGGCCAAAGATACTTTCCCAAGTATTTTTGTTATTACAAAATATGTTTTCCGCCTTTTTTTTAACACTAGTGTTTTTGTGACCTTTTAAAAAAGATTTATTTATTTTTAGAAAGAGGGGAAAGGGGGGAGAGACAGAGAGATACAGGAATGTGGCCGCTCCTGGGCCCACCTAATGGGGAGGACCGGGCCCGCAGCCCAGGCTTGTGCCCTGAACTGGGACTCTAACCAGCGAGCGACCCCTTGGTTCGCAGGCCAGCACTCAATCCACTGAGCCACACCAGCCAGGGCTTCCTCCTTTGTGTATGCACCTATTTTCTACCCCCCCCCCAATAGCAGGTAGACATCATATATGTGGCTGTTAATATGTATTGCACACCACCAGCATGCGAACGAGTGCTGTGAAGCGGTTGGTATGGGCTGGGCTGTGCACAGCTACCCCTGACAGCAGTACTGGAAACGGATGGGGGAGGGAAGCCGCCGGAGAAAGGTCCCACGGAGCCGCAGGGTCTGGGGAGAGTGGACGGCCTGAAGTAGAACAGGAGGAGCCAGGCTCCTGAGAGAGACCAAATGAACAGGACTTGTTCAAGAGTGTGGAAGGAAACAGTCAGAAGTCAAATATTGCTAACACTGAGCCGCAATATTTGCTAACCCAAATTGCAAAGTCAAGAAAAGCAAGAAATTTAGATCAGCTCAGGTGCCAAATGGGGGTATGGCTGTCGACAAAAAGCAAGAATTTTAAAATATACTTATTCTTTCATTATTAAGTAAATATTTATTTCACCCTTATCATTTTCCAAGTATTGTTTTAGTTGCCAGGGGTACAATTCTGACCAAGAAAAATGAAGTCTCTTCTTTGATTGCATTTATGTCCTAGAGGGAAAAGACAAACAGTGAGTAAAAAAGTAGAATCCGTTCTGAGAGCGATAGATGCCCTGAAGGAAGAGGATGACGTGGATAAAAGGTCATTGGGAGCAACCGTAATTGAGATGGTCAGTTGCGATGGTCAAGTCAGGCCTCTGAAGGAGTGACCCTTGCACTGAGATCTTAATGGTGACAGAGAGCCAACCTATGACGAGCCAGGAAAAGGACCAGCTAGGCAGGAAGAGTAGTGCAGAGGTTCTGGGGTGGGAGACAGCTTGTTTTAAAAAACACAAAAAAGGCCAATGGAGCTAGTGCCCTGAACAGGGAGAGAATTAGGAGAGGACATTTCGAGGGCAGAGTGGCCAGACTGTGTGGCTTAGGTTCGGGCCATGGTTAGGAATTTGGGTTTTATTTTAAGTGCAAGAAGCAGGTTGTGAGCCAGGGAGCAAGGTCTCATTTTTATTTTAAAAGATGCCTCTGGCTACGTAGGCAGCCTGACTGAGAGGGAGGTGAGTGTTGGAAGTGGAATTGGGGGCTGTTGCAGAAGTCTGCTTGCTGGAGTATCCGAGTTCCTTAGTCACGTTGAGTGTGATTTCTCTGCGGACAGGCGCAGGGTGGGGGGTTGGGGGGCGGAGCCAGCAGCTGGAAACTCTGGAGGAGGGTCGGGTAGATTTGTAAAGTCTTTACAGAAAGAAAATAATTAAAGTTGCGTGAATCTCCTCTCAGGAGAGACCCTGCACTTTAACATTTATTTATATCCTCACATAGTCCATAAACAATTGTTAGCTAATCACATGTAGCGATTACATACATTGAAAGGGGGTAAGATTTTTTTTTAAAGCAAGGGTGGGCATAAAACTGACGTGAGTGTATATGGTTAAGAAATGAAATGGGGACTCAGGTCAGGTCTTGAATCCTTGGTTTAAGAGAACGATGAAGAAGAATCATTACACTAAAACAGATGTAGACTTGGGGGGCAGTGGGGAAACTGGCAGCCCCTCTCCCCCGTTTTAAAAATAAGAGGCAGAGGAAGAGAGAATTTGCTACAGAGAAAGGTGGACAGTGCTGCCGAAAGCTGACCAGTTTGCCAGGATGAAGACTGAAGTCACTGGGTGCAGGGAGATGTTGGGGACTGTCGTGAAATGATTTCAGTTCGGAGGTGGAGGAGAAAGCTGGATTGCAGTGTAGTGAAGACTGATGGGCAATGAGCAGACACTGCACTGAGAGGTGTATCGGTAGGAAATAGGGGTAGACTGGGGAAAGTGCATCCATGGGAATTTATTTTTTTCTGACAGGTGAATTTTGATCACCTGAGTAGTAGAAGGAAATAATGTCCTAGAAGGAGATGCAGTGAGTGTTAGAGAGGAATTGTATTTATTGAGTTCCTACGAGGTGACATTCACCATACTAGGTACTGTCATATGTGTTACCTCATTTTAATCCTCACAATAGTCCTTTACCGTCCCCACGCTACAATAGAAAACAAACAACCTGAAGCATTTAACTAGTACATGATAGACGTGAATGGAGCCCAGCCCTCTAATTCCATTTCCCTTGTACCTGTATGGAAGGCATAGGTGCAGGTAGTAAGTCGTGTTAAAGGTGGAAAAGAGGAAATTGGACCAAGTGAGACGAGAATGAATCTAAGACCTAAGAGATGAGTTAGCTTGCTCTGTAGTGACATGAAGATACCTCCTGAATGCCAAGCGAGGGCAAGAATCCAGGTGTTCCTTTAGGTCTGATAGTTACTTTTGGCCTGCCTTTTGCATTGCATTACAGATGATCTCCTGGATTCTTATTGCAAAGGTGGAATTTACTTGCTATCGGAAGTAAGATGTTGAACATATGATATTCTGAAATTGAACTCCAGGGGAAGTAAAGCTCCTAAAATGATAAAGGCAGTAATAACCTGGTGGGCCGTCTTTGCTCTCTAGGTTCTATACCTACCCTGGAGTAAAGCCTTGGGGGTTAATCAGGGCATTCTGTTAAGGATGTTAATTTCAGATCATTAAGATGCCATATTTTTTGGACCATAAGATGCACCCAGGTTTTAGGGGAGGAAAATAGGAAAAAAATTTTGAAGGTAAAATATTTAATAACATAAATAACATAATATTTCACCAATGTAAACGTAAACAGAACTCGACAGCAGCATTAACAACCATTATTTTTCCCAAACGGCAGGGCGGTAGTGTGTCTTATTTTCTGAAAAATAACGGTAATCACTTTTCTTTCAACAACAGTAAATGCAATGGCAGTGTGTTTTACTTATGCTCTTAGAAAATGCATCAGCTTATTTTGATAGAACTTGTATCTGCTCCTGTTTCCTAATCCCTCAGGCTTTGCCGGGGAAGGACATTTGACCCATCACAATAGCGATGGCGGCTGAAGTGCGAATGGTGCTTTATGAAGACGATGCAGTGCAAGTACAGTATGTGGACGGTTCCAGACTGCAGCTCTCTCCCTGTGGCTCTGAATTTGTGTTTGAAAAGGCACCTCCTGTTTCAGCACATCCTTTAGAACAACCAGAAAGAATTCGTCAAAGGACACACTTTGTTATTAGCACTTACCGAGTAAGTACAGATGACACAAACACCACTCTTTTTAGTGCCGAGATGTTGTGGAGGTGGCCAAAATGTGGAAAGTAGTCAGTATGCTGGATTGCTGCCATGCTAAATGTTTTTGCAATAATTCTTCAAGATTGTATTTGTGTCTTTTTGCAGGAACAACTACAGCGAGCCCTAGATTTTCGAAACTCTTTCGCCACTTGCCCTTTTTTATCTGAAAACATCATACCTTCTGAAAGAAAAAAGGTAATTTTTTAAAACTCAATTTTGTAAGATTTGAGGACAAGTGATTAGAATAGGTTTTTTAATATTTAGTCTTTTTTCTTTATGACACTTGGAATGGACATGTTGCTATAGGGTGAATAGGCCTTTATATTTCACCAGACTAGGGAGTTTTCTTATTTTGTATATTGATTGAGACACAGAAGTTGCATATTTTGTTACCCTGTTTTTTTCTTTATAGCCCAGGATTATACTCAGAACTTTTCATATTGGTGACTGTTTGATTGCTGGAAATGTGAAATTTCAGAAATTATGTGGACATTTTTAGTAGCTTATGTATGTATAGTTGTTTGTTCATGTGTAATAGAAATATGTGATCACTCACAAGCATACAAATTTTATTCTTTTGCTTGTATTCTGTTTTGAACTTGGAATAATAATAGTAACTATCCTTTACTGAAGGTTTACTATGGGCCAAGAACTGGGAGTGACATTAAGAATATTTGACAGCACCCCTATGCCTTGGGGAGCCTGCTGATCAAAGTGGACGTCCAACCAATCAGAAAAGGTGTATTGGCTAGATACCAACTCCTTTTCACAAGCGAAAGAACTAAATCTCGGAGAGTTTGCCTAACTTTTCCATAGAAATTTTCTTACTGGCCGAGTGATTTGAACCCAGTCTGTTTGACCCTGAAGCTGCCTAATCCGTTGCCTATTTCTACTACTGTCACGATTTCCTATTACGCTGTGTCGTGACAAAGAAGCCATGAAAAACTGTGAGCTGTAACTTAGTCTACAAGGCTGTTTTCCCACTCTATCTGTGGGGTAACTTTACTCATTGAAATTGGCTATCTTGCCGCTGATGCTGCGGGAGGAGCATCCGGTAGTCTAATTTAGAAGAGAGAACCTTCTGAACTGATCATCCTTACAAACCAGCTTTGCCATCAGTGAATACCGCCCTTAATTTTAGTGTCCTAGCATAGCAGTGAAAATTGAAGAGGCTTTCTGGACAATGGTTTTGGTAAGTTTAAAGTTTTATGGAAATGGAAATTGAAACATTTAGTCGTCGGTGGGATGAACCGATGAAAAGCCTGTTCTGTGACGCCTGCTGTTTCGATCTGACATGAAACTTCACGGCAGGCACTGCGACCTGTTACGAGTCTGTGTGCCGTTGGTCAGCATCCACTGACCTTCGAGTAATTCAGTTGTTAAGCGTGTTGCTCCTGGAATTGATTTTAGTGTGTGGTGTGTAGGGTGCTGTCCGGGGCAGGGGCTTTAGTCCAGGTCATAACCCTCTGGTATAACATTTCCTAAGTGCTGTTCAATGATTCAGTACCATTTCTTAAATAATTCTCCCTTTTCCCCTTTGTTTTGAAAAACTTGTTATCGCATGTAGCATTTTTAAGATATATTGAGTCTATTTCTGTATTCTCTGAATTGTTCTATCAGTGACTTATGTGCTAATTTCATACCATTTAAGTTATGATTGCTTTTAATATAGTACATTATAGTGCTAATCTTCCTTCATTTATAGTCTTTTTTATTTTAATTTTCTTTTTAAAAAATTCTATTTACTTATTTTTAGACAGAGGGAGAAAGGGAGAGAAGCATCAGTGTACCAGAGACACATCGATCTGTTGCCTCTCACACACTCCTGACTGGGGACCTGGCCCACAACCCAGGCATGTGCTCGGACTGGGAATCGAACGGGCTATAGTTTTTTTTTTTAGAGTAGACTTTTGGGAGGGGCTCAAAATCTTTTTATCTCCGATTCACTGTACATTTTAAGCAAAAACATCTAATACTAGATATAATTAGGATGATTTTTTCTTCTTTTCTCTCTTTTTTGGTCAGTGTGTGTGTGTTCTACCGCTCTAAAGAGATATCAGATATTCTGTGTAAAATCATATGTAGGCTGACACCTGGATCTCCTTTTTCATTCTCTCTAGGTAGTAAAACAGACTTGAAGAGCTTTCTTACACATAAGTAAGTATCAAATGTGTGGAAAATTTGGTCTGTTAACAGAAAATATTGACCATCTCCTTTCTCCCCTCAACTCAGCATGTCCTCCTCGACATCTCGGAAGTGAGGTGGCCCAGTCCTGATACCGATGACAGCACGGCGTGGCTGCAGGGTGGCACCGTGAAAGTGGCCTCTTTAGATGGCCACGCCTACCTCTGCCTGCCCGCATCTCAGCATGAATTCACTGTGCATTTTCTGTGTAAAGTAAGCCAGAAGCCAGACTCATCTATAGTATTGTCAGAAAAAAAAAGTCAAGCCAAGAAAGATAAACTGGTGGAAAAAGCAGGCAAAACCCTTGCATGTGGAAACTTACCAGGACAGAGACTGAAGAATAAAGACAATGAACTTCACTGTGAGATCATGAAAGCCAAAGGACCTTCGGAGAAGGAGCATTGTGGGAATGGAACCGAGGGGGAGGAGGCGCTGCCTCCTCCTGGCCCAAAGCACACGTGTGTGCACGCGTGGGTGGAGCAGCGCTGGCCTGTGGCCTCCTGTCCAGAGGAGTGGAAGTACCCTCTGTCTTTAGCACTTCGTTTTCATGATAAAATACACAGTTTGTCCGGAACTGATGTAGCTGTCACCCAGAATGCAACTTTAACTTCTGATGTTTCGGAGGAAAGAGGAAAAGAGGTTTCTGTACTTTCCAGGGCCCTGCCACTCAGCTGCCCTGTGCCACACCTGCACAGGTAACGGCATAATTACTTAGTTGGCATAACCAGTCAGAACCAGTCTTCCTAAGGGTAGTTTTTCTTTCTAAATTATCTGATACCACTTATAAGGAGAGTTCATTCAGTTGATCCAAAATTTTGTTTAAAACTGCTAGTAAATAATTTCCCTAGCATGTGCGTCTTAACTCTGTGTCCATGGAATGAATGTCTAGGGAAGGCCACCGGTGCACTGGATGCTTTGTTAAGCACAGAGGCAGAGATGACTAAGACACAGTCCCTGCTTTCTAGGAGCTTATGGTCTAGCGAGGGTCACTGTCACTGAAAGGATTATTTATTTATTTTTTATTTTTAAATTTTTTAATGTATTGATTTGGGGGGGGGACATCAATTTCATGCAGTCATTGGTTAATTCTTGCATATCCCTGACGGAGGATTGAACCCACAACCTTGGCACATCAGGACTCTAGCCAACCGAGCTGCCCAGGCCAGGCTGAAAAGATTGTTAGTGTGGGAAGGGATGGCCCCGGGACTTGCACGGTGCTCTGTGGGCACGTCCACGCCACTCGGTGGAGCCTGTTCCCTTGACTGTTGCAGACAGCGCTGAGAAGTTTATGACCGCTGGTTCTTTCTGTCACACTTGGTCTCACAGGCCGTCCCTGTCTTTGGTTGACTACAGAGGTGTCTTTTTTATAAAGGGGTACCATGGAAAGGCTTTGGGATATCTGGGTATAAACCTTTTACCTCCACTAAGAGGCGAAGAACCTGGTGGTGCTAGACTTGTAACATGAATGTTGTGGAAGCAATGCAGTGATAAGGATGATGGCTAACCCCAAGCACTCACTGTGTGCTAGGCATGGCTGTGCTTTTCCGTTTCCTCCCCGTCGTAACCCCGTGGGATAATAAGTACTATCTGTCATCACCTCATTTTGTGGAGGAATTGGAGAGACAAATGTTAAACAACCTGAGCAAAGTCGCATAGCTAGTACTTGCAAAATTGGAATTTGATCTGAGGCAGTCTTTTGAATACATATTTGTTATTTAAACACGATACGCATCAAAAGAGATTAATGCTTCTAAATCAATAATTTTTCAATAACTTGCCACTGCCTGTAGATTGAAATTCATTATCCTTAAACATGGCTTAATAGGCCTTCACAGCCTGGTTCCTTTCTGTATCTGTGATCCCCGACCCTCTTGCTGACCTGGACTTCTTGCAGACCCTGGAGAGTTTGCTCAGGCTTCTGTTGCCACTGCGCCTGCCCTTTCTTCTACCAGGAATACGCTGCTAACTTATGTTCAGGTCCAGGTCTCTGTGTAAGCCTTACTTCCCGAGAGTGGTTGCCTCCACGTCCGGAGACTGGACGAGGTTCTTACACAGTGCTGTAGCGTTCAGAAATTCCCCTTTCTTCATGCCCAGTATTTACCCTCTAGCATCACAGCGACCATGTTTGCTTTTCTGGGTGTTATATCCCCGGTGTATGTACAGTGCCTGGCCCACCGTAGAGACCGGGAGTATTCGTTCAGGGAGCATTTGTTGTTTGGGTCCTAAATTTTTAAGGTTAGTAAAACTTAATTTATGCAATCGTGCTGAGATTCAATAACGAGATCATTGAAAATGCATGAAAAACTGACTCATTTTAAAATTTAATTAATATACTTTCATATTAATTTTTACTTTTTTTTTAATCTAATGAATGAAGCAAGAAATAACTTTTGTTACAGTAGCACTACTTTGTTGACTTCTCCAGATAATTGTGTTGAGTAACCTGAAACAATAACTTGTATTTGATCCTGCACAGGTGGAGTTTTTCTGATTCACTCTCGCCGGGACAGTCTGATGAAGAGCAGGCCTATCCTGAACTAGTGAAAGTGGTGTGGTTCAAGGGTATTACGTACAGGTGAGGCGCCTGTGTCGGAGCTGGAGCCCTTCGGGAACGTCACAGAGGGGCCAAGACTAGCCTTGCAGAGAAACTACAAGAGAATACACTTTGGTGGGGGCCACCATGCTCCTGTGTTTGGTCCTGAGATTTAAGGTCACAAAACTTAATTATATTAGGGCAACAGGGGTCTTGTTACTAATTCACATTAACCATATTTGCAAGATTTCTGTGACACCTCCAAAGGCAGGGATTAGTTTTGCTAGTGAATGCAGTACACATGTCATCTATTTAGGACACCCCCATCCAAACATGGGGGGTCCAGCTGTCTGAATTAGTCCAAGCAGAAGGTTGCCCGGTGAGTGTGGAATGAGACAGGTTAGGTAGCTTAGGGGAGATTTCGACCTGCACTCACTCAGCAGGTACTCACCAAGCGACTGCTTCGTGCCTGCACTATTCCACTGAGCTAGCCCTCCCTCCCCAGTGGCTGGAGCACTGGTGCTGGCCAGACCTGGAGGTTCACGTCTGTAAAGATTGCCGAGGAGGACTGCAAGTCATTTATTCCTGGGCTCTCTTTTGGCTTAAGTTTTTATACCTCACATGACTTCTCACCTATCGGATATGAATTTTACTAGTTCATTATTAAAAGGGAATCTTATTTTCAGGTTCTAGAGTTGTTGTATTTAGCTCCTAGGCAATGAGCATTGCTTTGGTGACTTACATACCAGCCACTCTGATGTGGGGATACCAGGATGAGGAGGCTTCGCTTCCAGAAGCAGAGCTTAGTTAACTGAAGTAGATACATGAACCAGTTCTCTGTGTCGTATTTATTCTTTTGCAAAAAATTCATTTAGCTGGCTGGTGGTGCAGAATATGAAATTACCCATTTGCTAGGTAGATAAAAATTCATCTTTGTTTTTGTTTTTGTTTGATAATTGACTTGATGCGTGTTCTAATCTCAACTAGAAAAACATTTTTTAAATGATTATTTCTTTTCCTTAGACTTACCCATAAAAATGTGAACTCAATAGAGATTTATCCTGGAGATGGATCTGTTTTCAAATCAGAAGGAGCTTATTTTGGGAACTTTTTTACATATTACTCCACTCGGGAAGGATCAGAAGAGGTGAGCTGACAATGAGGTCTCAACTCAAGATTTTTGGTATATAACTGTTTCCAAATAATTGTGGATCTATATGGGAGATTTGATCTTTATATAACATAGCTTGCTACTACTTAGGCTAAACAATGAACATAACCTACTGCAGCATTGGCACAACAGTTATTAATCACCTTATTTTCACTGTGTTCTCATACTGTATTTTGTCTTCCTTTTGCCTAAGCAATTTGTGTTTAAATCAGAAGTTAAATTTCTCTGTCAATTTATCGATAGGAAGCACTAATACCAGCAGCATTACTTTGAATTGATATACTTCTTTGGATTAATACTTGCACATTAAAAAGCATACCCTTTTCCCCCAGCATGTATTGTTTGCATATTTTAAACATCTCTTAACTCCTAAATCTTTATGTATAACTAGAAAACTGAACAAGATTGTTTTCTGTTGTTGAAACAGTGAAACATAACATGATATATTTAATAAATCAGATGGAAATGTGATCATGTGGATATTTTGTTAATAATTCTTGTCCCCAATTCGACACTTGACATCACCCTTTTACAGGGCTCACCGTAGTGTCACATGGCTTTGCTTTGCAGGATGGAACATAATAAACGTGTTTTCCTTCCCTGTTACAGAAGAGAGTATTTAAGTGATAAGATTGTCAGAAGTGCTAGGGAGAAGAGTTAAAAATAGAGCAAGGTTTTTTCTTTTTAACTATGGGAACTTGCAAACAAATACAAAAGTAGAAAGACAAGTGTAACAGACCTTCGTGTACCCATCACCCGAATTGTTTCATCTATACTTCCCATTGCCCCCTTGACTCCCAATTTAACTTTACATAAATCCCAAGTGTTTCATTCATAAACATGTTAGTGTACACTGGAACAGATTCCCTTCTGGGGTCTATTTATAGGAGAGTATTCATTTGTTCAATAAGTATTCATTGAACACTCGTAGGCAGGTGGTCTTCACTGGGTGAAGAAGATTTCCTGGCTTCGAGAGTTCACAGTCTAGTGGTTAGATTGGCAAACAAGCAAATGAAATGAAAGTGTGGCCAGTAATGTGTGTGGGGGGTTACATGAAGCAACCGAGTAAACAGGCAGGTAGGAGTGGGTATGCTTACGCACACTGTCGACTGCTGTGCACCGGGAGTCCACAGAACCACAAGATGAATACAGTACGTCCTCCTGGAACTCCTGTTCTACTCGCAGGCATCAGGAGGAGGGGATGACCATTTTTATATTGAAACAGACATGGATTAGAAGCATGAGCTTTGGGGATAAAACAAAACTTTCAAACAAGCTGTGTCTTTATGGTGGAATTTTTGCACTTGCACTATCCTCTGTCTACTTGAGTGAAAAGATGATAAACAATTGGCTCTCTTTGGGGGATAAAATTGTTTGCACCTTACTTTCACCCATACTCCAAAATAAGTCTTGGATGGATTTAAGGGCTAAATGTCAGAAACCAAACCTTTATATAATTGTTAGAAAATAGAGGAGAAAAGTGTTAATAATCTTGGTGTAGGAGAGGCCTTCTTAAGTACAATCCAGAAAAAACAGAAGCCATAAAAGTTTGGTAAGTTTGAAATTTTCAAGCTTACATTAAATTTTAAATATTTAATGTTTGTTAAATTAGATAAAGCAAAAAACGCAAAGGCATGGAAAAATACATTATAAATCAGTTATAATCCTCTCCTCATGGTTATAATAATAGCAAAGGCAATGAATATAACCCATAATATTTGAAAACATGTTCAACTTTACTCTTGTTTCAGGGAAATGAAAATGAATAATTTTAAGACTTTTCGCTCATCAACTTGTCAAAAATTTAAAAGGTGGAGACTATGTACCAGCACGGGTGTAGGAAATGGGGTGCTTTCATTGCTGGAGTGTGAATTGGTTCAGCCGTCAAGGAGGCCACTTTGATAATGTCATATAAAATTGCCCAGAAATGCTTCTGTGAGTGTGTCCTAGAAGAATATTGGCACATACATACAAAGAAGCATGGCCAAGAATGTCCATTGTGTCATTGTTTGTGTAGCAAGAAATAAGGCAACCTACACGTTCATCAGTAGGGAAATGATGCAGTGAGCGTTAGTGATCAGGTTGGGGAATGCTGTGCAGCAGTTTCAAAGAAAAAGGAGAATGTAGGTGCATAAGGGACATTGGAAGCTCTCCAAGACACTGTTGAGTGAAAAAAAAGAAAATTGCACTAACAACATGTACAGTGATATCCTTTACATTAAAAAAAAGCCCCAAACCTATATATTACTGTATTACTGTGTGTGTATATGCACACACACATACATACACATGTGAATGCACAGAGAAGGATCTGGGCAGATAGACACCGAACTGATTACTTTCAGAGAGGAGTCTGAAATTCTGTGAGGGAGGGGGATCAGGAGGGACTTAAATCTTATACATATATTTTGAACTAGCTCTTTTCTTTTCCAAGGTAGTCAGGGGAGAAGCCCAGTAACAATTCAGACAGCAAAGTCCACAGCCCAGAATAAAAGGGCAGAGATTACTGGTTAAGTACCTACTATTACTGAATTCTGATGGTGAAGTATGGGCTGTGTTCTCTTGTGTTTCACAACAGATCTCAACTACTTCTCAGCCCTCAAGCCTGTTTCCTTACCTAAAAATAGGCGTCTAGCACATAACTATTCAGTAAACGTTAGCTGTTGCTGTTGTAATGATTACAAACTTAGCTTTGAACCCTGTGGAATTAACCCAAGAAGAAACCAGGAAAGCCAGAAGAGAAGGCTGGAGGCAGAGTCCTGGAAAACACTATCAGTAAAGAGTTTGAGAAAGGAAATTCAGAAGGAATGATTTTTTAAATTCAAAACTGTAAATAATATTGTCTTCCATAAACTGTAGCAATAGTTATTCCATTAATAAAATGTAACAAAATGATTCATGAAATTAAAATGATTTTTTGCTGTTTAGGTTTTTTTTGTTTATTAGTCTAAAGAGAAAAGCTTATGTGATGTTTCCTAATATGTAGAAAAATTAGTTTATAACCATGTTAATTTAAGTATAGCCAAAGTTTAAATTGGACAGTAAGTTACAGGCTCTGAGAATATAATTTTTGAATAGGTAGGAAAAATGGAAAAGTATCATAAAATACTTTTAAACATACAGTTTTTATGGCCTTTAAGTTAACTGCTTGCTTCGTTCCTACGTAAACACATATTTCGAGAAAAATAGCTAAGTAATAATGGCCAATATTTATTACTAATGATATTTTTCATTTTAAACTAATTTTCAGAGAGAAGAGAAAATGTATTCAGTAAATAACCTTCCTCCAGATAGACCAGGAAGTCTGTTCTCCGTGCGTTCTCTAATCAAACAGGCAACCAGGTAAGTTCTGATAACCTTGATACCTTTTCTAACCGTTAGGATGAAATTAAGAATTGGTAGTACAATGGAAACATAAGTATCTGGTAAAAATCTGTCAACTTTTCTGGTCTCATCATTTATAAAACAAGGTAATCACTATATCGTTAAAAGAGTAACTCCGTCTTTGAAATATAAGTGAACTATGGAAAAACACTTATATGTGGTGAGCAAGCACTGCTAAGAAATAGGTGACTTCTCATAAATTTGGCATCATTATTACTTCTTGGAATTAAGTTGAGGATTTGATGATACATTTAAAATTTTCATACTTCTTTATTATCTTCAGAGTGATAAAGATTTCTAAGGTGTGCTGAAGATGAAGTGTAGATCGGTTCATACGGGTTTTTTTTATTCTAATTAATTAATCTGTAGCACTCAGGAGAATGAAAGGGTAATGTTAGATTAAGTGATTTATTTTTATGAACTATGTCTAAGCCAGTTCCCCAGTAGATTTGAAGGAGCAGATCTGTAATTTGATTTGCTAGAAACACTTTATATCCCGCAACAATAGCTTATGCTAAGCCTTTCAGCCACTGTGAATCTTTCCCTCTTAAAAAGAATTTGCACCTGCAAATTGTTTGGAGTCATTTCATTGCTAAAAATTAGAGGAATAACTTTAAGTACAAAAGATTAGCACAAAGGGACAGTAGTGGTTCTCATCTACGGGCTGGAGGGCTTGTGGAAGGAAATAGGTCTGGACATGTTTCAGTGGAAATGAACTACTTGCCTGAGCTGTTGGATGGCAGTGGTTTCAACCTGTGCTGCCACAAGAATTTTGAGACATACAAGACCCTGGTCAGGTAGCTCAGGTGGTTGGAGAGATGTCCTGAGTAGCCAAGGTTGCGGGTGCCGTCCCTGGTCAGGACACATAGAAGAATCAACCAATGAATGCATCAGTAAGTAGAACAACAAAATCAAGGTTTCTCTCTCTCCGCACCACCCCCTGCTTCTTTTCTCTCTCTCAAATTAATAAATGAAAAAACAAAGAATTTTTACAACACACAATACCTGAATATTTAGTCAGGGGCACTGACCTCTCTCCCCTTAGACTGTCAAACAAAAAAAAAATAACGACAGCCATCTGCTATGAATGAATCAAAATTGTAGCTATTTTTTGTCAGGCAAGAAATATATTTTTTGGTGTGCTGGAGAATTTTTAGTTTATGTGTGCCACAGGAGGAAAAAGGATGAAACTAGCTGTTCTATGGCATTGAGAATGTTTTGCTACAATTTGAAAATGCTATTATTTGCAAGTGTTGAAATCGTGTTTTTCCAATTCACAGGATTCTTCAGCATTGTGCCAAGATGAGGCTTTCTCTAAGCCATAACTATTGTATATGCTGCTGGAAAATGGTATCTTAAAATTATTTCAAGAGCAAGATATTTTAAATTGTTTTTATTCATATATATATACTAAGTTCTACTTTCATCTGAGTTGTGTGAGAAGTTCTTTATAACATTAGTATTGATTTATTCAGAAACATATCCACTTAATGGATAAATACTGCAAAATGATGCTTTTATGTTATATTTTTATTGTATATTGTATGTTTTTTCCTTCTTTTAAAGTAACGAGAAGGCCATGGGAATTGATGGGATTTGTATATTTTTATGGCCTTTAAGTTCAAATAACTACTTGCTCTGTTCCTATGTAACAGTTATTATAAACCTTAGTATTACAATCTTCTACTCTTTTCATATTGTAAAAGTATATTCTTTAATGCTTACTTGGAGGAAGTGATTTCAGACTTTGATTTCTATATTTTACTAATTTGGTTATGTTTCTGTAATTTTTGTCTGTGTCCTATGTAAAGTCCAGAGCAAAACAGTGACTTTTCCAAGATACTGGAACTTAATTTCCTTGTAATAGACTGTTTTGGGCATTCACTTCTGGAAAAGTTATAACATATAAGGATTCTACAGTATTGAACTTCTGCATAAGAATCTGAAAGTTGCCTCAGAGTTTATTAATCATTTAAATCTTATCAATGGATAACTCTACTTTCTGCTGTTTTTACTTACTTGGTTTAGGTCCCTGGGATAAAGGATAACAATATACTGCCTTTGCTTTTGAGAGAATCATTCATACCCAGCGTGGGAAGATTTCTTGCATATTCTGATGACAAAGTACACGTTATCTTTTTAGATGGCGTTACTCTGACCCTAAATTGGAATTTTGGCTCATATATTGAAAAGAGTCAGGTGAGTATACTTAAGACTGAAATCTAGTTTGTATTTTTTTAATCTGTGGAAATACTTTGGTACTTATTTTTTTGTTATTTTGTTATATCTCTATTTATTTTTTGAAGTATAAAATTTGTCAAGAGGCTTTACTGATCTCATTGGAATTCCTAGCAAAAATCAGATAGGTGTGTGTGGCAAATAGTCATTTTTATAAAGGTAACTATTAGAGGGAAGGGCTAGTATTTTTGTTCTTTTGGTAATTATTTATATAACAGTGGTAGTTTAATCATCATATCTCATATAACTTTTAAATTAGTCACAATAAATTTTTTATGATTTATATACTTTTTAAAATTGTTAAGTTAGCAGAGGGTTTTCTTTGGGTTCTCCCCCAACCCATTTTCGAATGATAAAACTTACCTTTCCTTCTTTCTTCTTAAGGTAAATCAAGGACTCAGCTTAGGCTGGTGTAAGTTAACTTTTCCTGATGGACAAGAGCAGTTAATTCAGATTGAACACTCCGGACCATATGAAAGGTACTAAAAGGCAATTTAAAAAAATTACTTTTATGTTAGTAAAAAACCTTTACTTTTAATTGACAGGAAAGGTATAAACTATATTTGCATGTTATGTTTTTATTTTTACATGTGAATGTAAAAATATGACATGTGAATGAAGTCATTTCACAACTTTCACAGCTCACAGTTACATTGGCCTCTAGCATAATAACTGCAGAGATCAGGTCGGCTTTAATCACTTCCATTTGTACTCAAGTGGTTTTTCCAAGTGAGCGTGTTAAATATAACAGGTCTGCTGTGGAGGTTATGGTCAGGTATGTACCAATTAACCAATTTGAAATAAGGTTTGCAACCACAAATAACTACCCCTTTGTAAATTTCTATGAAGTAGAAAAAAATTAATTAACTGGTTATTCTTAAAATGAAGAAGATTCTCAAAAGCAGCTTTTTATGAATGTACTTTTTTTGTTTGTTTATATAATTTGTTATCATCACTGTACTTGCGTTGTTTTTGACATTTTAGTGATTTTGCTTCGAGAACGTTCACAAGAGAATTGTTTTTTTATCTCTTGAATTTATTTTTCTGTTGGGATTTACTGCATCATGGTCTAACTGCTCTGATACTCATTGCTAGTTTGAATAATTTGCCTCAAAAAGATAGTATCTTTAGCAAACATTGCTATATTTGTTCTTAGCCAGTTACTTCAGAACAATCATTTTCTTAAACGTGATCTTTGTTTTGCATATTCAGTGAATTATATACACACACACACACATGCATTAATGGGTATCTTCTAGTTTAAATTGTAAAAAGCAAATGCTCACTTAGTCTTATGTATGAATACATTTACATGATAAAGTTTAATGAAATTAATTTTTCTTTGAAAAACTAAAAGGAGAATTTAGACATTTGAAATTGAACTTTGAATGCAATCCAAATATCCCCTTTGTTCTGACTCTTAAATCTCATCTTCATTAATCATGAATGTATGTGAGTAAATAATTTTCTCCTTGATGAATATTTCCAATGAAGTGAATGCCTTACTTTAGATATTCTATTTACCCTTCTCCCCAAATTATCTTAATTTTTTAATCATTTTTTAGTATTTTTATAAATATTATACACGTATTTCTTTTAATGTATTCAATCTAGGTATATGTCAGTGGTAATATCATGGTGCAGAAAACTGACTCAGACTAGTCAGAGAGAGACGCTCACAAATCCTTCATTTTCTGTTCCTGAAGAAAATTGGTATTTATATATCATTTAAATTTTTTAAATTGTTGTTGAAGCACAGCTGTCTCTATTTTCCCCCACCACTCTCCCCTGCGCTACCCACCTCCACCTTCCACCCTCAATCCTACCTCCCTTTAGTTTTGTCCATGAGTCTTTTACATGTTCCTTGATGACCCTTCCTCTTCTGTTCCCCGTAATCCCTCTCCCCTCCCCTCTGATTACTGTCAGTTTGGTCTTTATTTCCATGTCTCTGGTTATATTTTGCTTGCCTGTTTGTTTTGTTGATTAGGTTATATGTGAGATCATATGGTATTTGTCTTTCACCACCTGGCTTATTTCACTTAGCATAATGCTCTCCAGTTGCATCCATGCTGTTGCAAAGGGTGGGAGCTCCTTCTTTCTTTCTACTGAGTGGTATTCCATCATGTAAATGTACCATAGTTTTCTGATTCATTCATTTACTGGTGGGCGCCTAGGTTGCTTCCAGCACTTGGCTATTGTAAATTGTGCTGCTATGAACATTGGGGTGCATAGGTTCTTTTGAATTGGTTTTTCAGGATTCTTAGGGTATAACCACAATGGTGGAATTGCCAGGTCAAAAGGCAGTTCCATTTTTAATTTCCAGCACTGTTTATTTTATCTGTTTATGATGGCCATTCTGACCGGTGTGAAGTGGTATCACTGTGGTTTTAATTTGTATCTCTTTGATGGCTAGTGATGCTGAGCATCCTTTCATATGCCTATGGGCCCTCTGTATGTCCTCCTTGAGGAAGTGTCTGTTCAGGTCCTTTGCCCATTTCTTAATTGGATTGTTTGTCCTCCTGGAGTGGAATTATGTGCATTCTTTATACATTTTGGAATCGAACCCTTGTCCAAGGTGTAATTGGCAAATGTATTTTCCTGTACATTTGGTTGGTTCCCTTTCCATTTGCTGATGTTTTCTTTAGCCGTGCAGAAGCTTTTTATTTTGGTGAAGTCCCATTTGTTTATTATTTCCTTTATGTTCCATGCTTATTTCCTTTACTCTGCACAAGGAGCCAACTTGTACAGCCAATTTTTACTACTTAAAAATTAAAATGTCAAATGGTAAACTAAGACTTTTTCCCTAAGAATACCTTTTCTTAAATATATTTAACTATATTTTGATAGCTTAGGATTAAAAATAATTTATCTTTAATCAGATATATAAGTTATTATAGTTCATCATCTTATATTTCATCTGGAGGTCAGAAAACTACACTGAAAACATCATGTCAAAATGTGACTCTTTCAATGTGAGCAATTCATCCTCAAAACTTTATGAAAAAATTTAAAGGAGGTTTTTAAAAAAAAAAAAACCTTTAGTAATATTAAGGGAAATAAATGTTGACTACATAATAAGCTTTCAGAAAAAATAGATTTTTAGTACCTTCCCCAAGTTAACTGGCAAATCAACAAATAAAACAAGTGTTTTGGTTCCTCTTGTGTGCCTTTTGGTGTGCAGGACACTGGCATTGCACCCAAAGAAATATTTAGGGAAAGTGAGACATTTTAGGGAGGAAGTAAGGACAGAGGAAAAAGTGGATATTTTGAAATGTGGAGATCGTTAGAAGATAGTTTTTATGGAGCAGGTGCTGTCCGTTAGGTATAGTGGGGGTTTGAATGGATCTTTTATTCACTAAGGGAATTCAGACTGAATGGAATTACAAGGAAAAATTCCATTTTTTCAAATGGAAAAAATGACAGGAAGAAAGGTCATTGGGAAGGTTAGTATTTCTGAGCAAATAATCTGAACACACTGGAAAAGAAAGGTACCAGGAACAATTTAGGAAGCGTTAAAGTAGGTTGTAAGGTGCTTAGCATAGTGTGGTGAAAAAATAGAAACATTAGCCAGATTCTTATCACTTTTTCTGAGGTTACTTAGATAAAGAGGCCCACACTAAATGATATTAGTTGATTGCCTCCACTGTTTTAAGGATTCAGCTTTCCCTATCCGTCATTCTTCCACTACAGCCTGTTTGGGAGCAGAAAAGTTGTCCAAGTACCTAGCAAAACACATAGGAAGGAAGGGAAATAGTACGTAGCTATAAGATTGTCACTTCATCATCGCTCGGCTGGCACAGTTTGTAAGAGGCTAGCCTTTTTACGTGACAGCTTAGAAGAGGGTAACTGTCAAGACACAAAAAAGTGAGGGAAAGGAGGTGAAGAATGGTGATGGCAGCGGTGAGTAGAAACAATGAGGAGCCGCAGGGAGACAAAGGAATTGAAGAGGAGTGGGGGGGGGGAACCACGTGCATTAGCCCCATTTCCTTTGCAGAAAGCCCTAAGTCATCTCCCACTGTACATTGTTTTCTTGTCAGAAGTAGGCCGAGGAAAGAGAAGAGACTGCATAATAAATAGCTACCTAAATGGTCCTTCAGTATTTTTTCTCAACTCACCTCTGTTATTAGTCTACTGATTCAACTTTTTAAAAAATATATTTTATTGATTATCCTATTACAGTTGTCCCATTTCCCCCTTCATTCCCCTCCACCCTGCACACTCCCTCCCACCCACATTCCCCCCTTTAGTTCATGTCCATGGGTCATAAATTCTTTAGCTTCTACATTTCCCATACTATTCTTGCCCTCCCCTTGTCTATTTTCTACCTACTGTCTATGCTACTTATTCTCTGTACTTTTTTCCCCTCTCCTCCTCCCACTCCCCTGTTGCTATCCCTCCATGTGATCTTCATTTCTGTGGTTCTGTTCCTGTTCTAGTTGTTTGCTTAGTTTGCTTTTGTTTTAGGTGTGGTTGTTAATAACTGAGTTTGCTGCCTTTTTACTGTTCATATTCTTATTTTTTATCTTTTTCTTAGATAAGTCTCTTTAACATTTCATATAATAAGGGCTTGGTGATGATGAACTCCTTTAACTTGACCTTATCTGAGAAACATTTTATCTGTCCTTCCATTCCAAGTGAAAGCTTTGCTGGATAGAGCCATCTTGGATGTAGGTCCTTGCCTTTCATGACTTGGAATACTTCTTTCCAGCCCCTTCTTGCCTGTAAGGTCTCTTTTGAGAAATCAGCTGATAGTCTGATGGGAACTCCTTTGTAGGTGACTGTCCCCTTATCTCTTGATGCTTCTAGGATTCTCTCCTTCATTTTTATCTTGGGTAATGTAATTATGATGTGCCTTGGTGTACTCCTCTTTGGGTTCAACTTCTTTGGGACTCCCTGAGCTTCTTGGACTTCCTCAAAGTCTATTTCCTTTGCCAGATTGGGGAAGTTCTCCTTTATTATTTGTTCAAATAAGTTTTCCACTTGTTTCTCTTCCTCTTCCCCTCATGCTACCCCTATAATTCGGATGTTGGAACATTTAAAGATGTCCTGGAGGTTTCTAACCTTCTTCTCATTTTTTTGAATTCTTGTTTCTTCATTCTTTTCTGTTTGATTGTTTCTTTCTTCCTTCTGGTCCACTCCATTGATTTGAGTCCCTGTTTTCTTCCCACCACTATTGGTTCCCTGTGCATTTTCCTTCATGTCACTTAGTGTAGCCTTCATTTGTTCCTCTAATTTGTGAGTAAAATCAACCAGTTCTGTCAGGATCCTGATGCTCAGTTCAAAACACAGTTCACAGTGTTTTGAACTGTGCATTTGATAGGTTGGCTATCTCTTGGTCGCTTAGATGTACTGGCTCTGGGGCTTTGATTTGTTTTTCTTTTTGAGCCATTCTGTGGGGGTGGGGTCTGGTCACGCCTGTTACCTATGAGGGGTGGAGCCTTAAGTATTCACCAGGGCAGGGCAACCCAGTCACTGGGTTGTTAGGCTGTATGTGGGGGTGGGGTCAGAGAGGGAACAATGATGCTTGCTCTGCTCTCTCTGATTTCAGTCCCTTCTGCTGCTTCCCACAAGCAAATTGGGCCCTTGTGGTGCTGGTTCCCTGGTGGGTGGTCTTGTGTACATTCTAGGACCCTGTGGGTCTCTCCAGCGAACTCTCCTGTGAGTCTGGGTATCTCTCCTGGCACCTCAACCCCCACAAGTGTTTTCAGTCCATGCTTTTAGGTTTCATTTCCCATCACTGGGGCCCTGGGTTTCGCGGTCTGTCTTGCTGCCCATTTTCACCTGGTTTATCTGTGTGCGAATGTGTGACCGTGGTCATCTGCCGCCTTGTGGGCCTCACTGGGTCTGCTCGTTGCCACCCCGCACCCAGGGTCTGCCAGCTGTTGCCTGCGCTCCTGGGGTCTGCCAACCACCGTCTCCAGCCACCGCTTTTTTCCTGCCCTAACCCCTCTCTGCTGGCCGCCAACTCTTCCTCTCTTACCGGTCTGGATGAATGGTAGTCGGACTTCCGTACAGTTCAGTTTTCTGAGAGTTTTGGGTGCTTTTTTGTTTCTAAATTTTTGTCGTCCTAATTTTGGTTGTACAAGGAGGCACAGTGTGTCTACTACGCCTCCATCTTGGCCGAAAGTCTGATTCAACTTCTTAATAGGGATGCTAGTCTAAAAATAATATAGAAGATGTTTGATAAGAAGTTTATTCATTATATGAGCAACAGAACTAAAGGTAGTTTGTTTCATTGTTTATTGCCAGGAAAAAAAAAGTTTCTGTTTAAAAAAAATAGGTATTTTGAAGTGATGAAAAACCAGCAGGTTTTGAAATGAGTTATTCCAAGTCTTTATCATAAATGCTTCAAGTCATGAAAGATCTCTCATTCTACAGCCATAGGCTGGAGTACAGGGAGGGAGTGTAAGCTGACAAGGAGGTACCTGTGGACCGTTGTAGGAAAGCCAGTGGAGAAGTCACGAATCCTCTTAGGTACTCTCAAGAAGACCTTTCTACTGACTTGAATAAAGAGGTGTTTTAAACATTAATGCCCTCCTTAATTTTGCAGAGAGCTAGTTGAGTCACATTATTTTCTAGTTGTATTCTACTGCTCATGTTTTATTGTAGCTTGATGAGGAAAAAGAACACACAAGCAAGGGGCTCTGCTGGAGTTGCCTTCTACTCCATACCAGTTGCCCCAAAATCTGTTTCTGTGGAAAATGGTAAGAGCTAATGTTCATAATGTTAATCCTACAAGTCAAGAAGAGAATGTTTAGTATACTGTGGTTATTCTTAACCAGTAAAATGACAAGGTAGTCTATTCCAGAAGGAATGTAATAGAAACTGTTATGTTTTATGACCTGGTTCAACTGCATAAAAACCCTCCCAAACCATCCGTACCCTGAGTTCCATGTAAATGAGGTCTTGCTGCATGTGCACAATACAGGAGAATAGGAAAAGATCCATTCTACTGAAAGAGACAATCTAGGTGTTAAGGAAATAAAATAGTTCAAGAGAAGACATTACATATAGGTGTAGGATTAATTGACATAATCTATAGGAATTCAAGGAAGGAGAAATCACTTACTTTACAAAAGTGATGAGATTTTAGTAGGTTTTTAAAATTTGAGTATACTTTAAGGAAATAGAGGGTATGTTAGGTTAATTCTAAGAAGTTATAGCAGGAAGGCCATTACCTTCAAATATCAATACTTGATTAAAAATTCCTGGAGGTGGGTACTTTTATTCACTTGGCTTACTCATTAAAAGCACTCAGTAAATTTATCAGCTGAGTCAAGTTGATTTTTTGATAAAGCCAATATAAAAAACTCTTTTAGGTTTTTCTAAAACTCTAACCTTTATGAAAAAACTCAAGTATGCTTATTTAAAATATTGTGGATAAAATAAGAATGAGACAACTAGCATGAATGTACTTTTTTCCCCCCACAGGTGTGTGGCTTCTGAACTTGAAAAGATACAGAAGTTTAACTGTATCCTTTAATGTATTGTCCTGCATAATCACATCCTTTCCATTCTAGGCTTAATTCATGACTGTAGCTTATGTTAATCCACACATATATTGTGGAGCTTCATTGAATATTTAAGAAACTCAAGATGTATTTTGTCTGTAGAAGGTACATCTTATAGATTTTTGCATGTGTATCAGGGATATTGACCTGTAATTTTCTTTTCTTATAAGTGCCTTTGTCTGGTCGTGGTTGTCAGAGTAATGCTGGCCTTATACAATGAGTTTGAAAGTGTTCCCTCCCCTGATTGGTATTTATTCTTCCTTAAATGTTTGGTAGAATTCACTAGTGAAACTATCTGGTCCTGGGCTCTAGTTTGTTGGGAGGTTTTGATTTCTGTTTCAATCTCCTTACTAGCATTCAGTCTGTTCAGATTTTCTACCCATGACTCACTCTTCCTAGGTTGCCTGTTTTTAGGAATTTACCCATTTCTTCTAGATCGTCCAATTGTCGGTGCACGATTGTTCATAGCAGTTCCTTATGCTCCTTTATATTATGTGCTATCAGTTGCAATCTCCCTATTTATTTCTATTGTAATTTTAATTGAGTCCTCTCACTTTTTTCCTTAGTAAATATAGCTAAAGGTTTACTGAGATTTTAGTTCTTTTATTTCTTTCCTATCATCAAACCTTCATCCAAACACATACACATACGCTTTCCTTTACCCCTCTCTTATACTCTAGTTTCATCTATAAAGGACAGAGTTGATAAGTTTTGAAGTGCCAAGAGATCTTCTTCCCAATGGAAAAATCGTATTTTAATATGAAGGTCAGGCTTCCTGAAATTAAAAATACTTGTATAATGAAAAAATGTGGATAAAATCTCCTTAACCAAGCAACTTAGCATTATTGGAGAATAGTGATGTCCTAAGTCAGATGTCTAACAAGAAGAGTGAACAGTCTTCTGAAAATAAACCAGAACATTCAGGAACCTTGCTAGAAGAAGTTAATGAAAAGACAGTATCTGTAGCATTGAAAAAAATCTCTGAAGTTATTCAGGATATTGACTGTCTTCTATCAAACTCTATAAAGTGAAATGGGATTATTATATTACTAAATCTTAAGGGCGTTGTTTCAAGTGACTAGTATAAAATTACTGGAAAGCCAAGGAATTGTATATATGACTTCTGTACAATAATTACATGAGAAGTGATATTAAACTTTGTAACCTGTAAACTTAGAAACCTGTAAACTTAAAATATACACTTATAAAGTACTTTATTAATAAAGAGCTATTTTGAAATTTTGAACTACTTTTATTTCACATTTATGAGAAAAAATTTAAAGTTCGTTTTATCTTGGGAGGCATTCACTATCAACCAAGGCTTGTCGATTACGCAGACAGCCCCAAGGGGGCGGTGCAGCGCTGCGGAGGGCGTCTGCGCCCGGCACCGGCGCAGGGGGCGTCGGGACTACTTCCACCCCTTTGGGGCGCGTGGAGGGCCCCTCACCCCGTTCGGCGAGGTTCACTCCGCGCCCTGGCTTCCCGGGTTGCACTTGGGTCTGCAGGGCGCCATCCAAGAACAAATGCAGGTTTGACAGACGGGGCCAACATAGCATTTTTCAGTCCCACCCTGTCGTCCCAAAGGTCTTCTGAGGGGACATGATAGGGAAGAACCCGAGGCATCCAGTCCCCGCACCAAAGAACATTCGAATACAGGTTGGTGTCGGCTCCTAGCGGCGTCTATCCCGTGGTCCTCCCGGGCGGCGTGGAGGGACTGGAGCCGCTCTGGCCGGCGCCGGCATCTCTATGGTACTGACAGATTGGAGGGGCGGGGCCTCGGCTGGCCCCCGGGGCCTCCGCTGTCAGAGCCGAGGGTGGGTGCGACAAGCTGCGGTGGTGGGCGGGTGGGAGAGGGGACATGATGGGTGCTGTGAAACTGCGCCCTCAATGTGGGGCCATCCTCAGCAGGGGCCAGCTGAGCCTGAACTCTGGAAGGTCCAGGTTCCAGATGGGGAAGGCGTGCAGGTGCGGCAGGCACTTCGGACCCGAGAGCAAGCTGGGTGTGCTTGGCCCCTCGGGGGCCGCAGGGACTTGCACAGAGCCCCACAGCGGAGGGCGTGCCCTCTGCTTCTCCTGTCTTCACTTCGGTTCCGTGCCACTGGCGTTTCTCTGACCCAGGCTGGGGAGCCGGGGGATGGGGCCGGGGGATACCTGGGATCTGATAGAGCTGCCCGCTCTCGTGACCTGGCTGCAGAGCCCTTGGGCGCCCCCATCCTGGGAGACATGGATGCCACGAATGTGACTGAGTGTTTTCCCTGCAGACGCCGTGGTTTCCTGCCCTGTTTTCTTAATTGTCTTAAAAGTTATGGCATCACAAAAACCTGACGAAAGAATGACTTTGAGACTTTACTGAGACTTGAAACATCAAGTTGAAATGCAGCATTGTATGTTTTATTTGTAATGGTAAGAGGAGCTAAACATTTTATACTCAGGCTATAAAAAGTTACCGTGAAAGTGAGCAAGATTTGTGTTTCTTTGCCAACTAGCTGTATTAGATTCGGCATCTGCTTTGGGTATTGTAGTGTTAAAGGAATACAAGCTTCTCAGCAACTACAGTTCAGTGAAGAGGACTTATTTGTAAAGCATAATAAAGGCAGTTTTCTGATTTTATATTGTGCGTTTAACCTCCAGTTTTTGTAAATGTTTGTGATTAGGGGAGAGGAAGGGGGTGAAGTAGGAAATTATGTTTACATTGGGAATTTGTTATCCCTGATTTGTTTTGGCAGAAATATGTCTAAGAGATTATTGGCAGACAATACATAACAGTGTATCATTTAAGATACTGGTTAATTATGTGTTTGTGGAGTTAAGGAAAAGGAGATGACTGCCGTGTACACTTTGAAGGCCCCATAGTTGATGGCATTTTACTGTAATGAGGACGAGGTGTGGCAGAGTTTGGCAATGGCAGAAACTGGTTCCTGTGAGTAAGAGAAATGTATGATGTGGGAGACTGGCTCTGAGGGCAGAACAGTCACAGCTTTCGTTCCAAGGCTGAGGGTTGTTGCACTGCTCATCCCTTTTATTAGTATAATGAAATATTTATTAAACACCTGAGCACATTAGATTTTATGCATGACAGGTTTAAAAGAAAATGATAATTACCATTCTTAAGGACCCTGCTCCCAAAAAGTGAGTATGTGAAATAAACAGAAGGCTCTTTTACGATTTGGGAGGTGCCTGAGTCATTCTATTTGTGGGGGGAGAAGCAGGAGTTAGAAAAGGGATGAACAAAGGGAGAATACAAATGGGTCCCTTAGGTGTCCTGGTCAGACACAGTAAGGAAGATAAAGTACACTCCCTAAATCTCTCTGTCTCGCACTGAGAGTCTGAACATCTGCGCCAATAGTTGGAGAGGAGTAGATGTCAGAATTGTGTTTCTGGGACCATAATCCTACCTTTCTAAAACCAGAAACTGTTTCGTAATTCTTGCTGTATAATGAATTACCCCAAAACTTAGAGGCTTAAAAAGGATCTTTTCTTTTGTCTCAGCCTGTCTCTTAATAGAGAAATGTAATACACTTACATTCACTGTGGTATTTGTGTTTGCTGTGTTTGGTCCCAATTGCTTTTGAGGTGGCGGTAAGGTTTTCTTTGCTTTTTTTCCTTTTCTGTTCTGCCGTACTGTATTGATCAAGTGTTCTCTATTCCTCTCCCCTCTCCCTAGAGATTGAGAGATTTAGAAGCCCTGCCCCTCAGTCTTTTTCCCCAGGAATCCTACACAGGTGTAATTTCCAAGGCGGAACTCTCAAAATTCTTCATTTGCCTGTGTGGAGAATCCCACAGCGACCCTTTGCCCTCAGACCTCTGTGCCCCACGACGTTGCAGTGTTAGTGTCAGTGTTAATGTCAGTCACACTGTTTTGCAGATAGCCTTTTTGTTTTTTCCTGGCTTGAATACCGATAAAGAATTTCCTGTTGTATAGATTTATTTTTTCCTTTAATGCTCAGGTCTTTGCTCTTTTTTTCCCCCTCAGACTTTGGAGGGGAAAAATAAAAATTGAAACTGTTTGTATTCACTTTGTGGTTTTTGAAGCAGTAGTTTCCCTTTGCAATGCTGTTGCCAAGCCTTCAGCTGGGCAGTCAGGCTTTTCATCTCCATAACCTCTGTCTTGTTTTCAGGTGGCTCCTTTTACATGGAAGTCTGCTGTTGTTATTGACAATAAAGTATGTCTTTTTTGGAGTGTAACTGACACATAATAAACTAAGAGAAAGAAAGGAGAGAAACATCAGTGTGAGAGAAACATCTATTGGTTGCTTCTCGAACACGCCCTGACCAGGGAGCAAGGTCCCAACCCCGGGCACATGCTATGACCAGGAATCTATCACTTTGCGGGGTGAGGCCCAACCAACTAAGCCACCCGGCCAGGGCCTAGTACCACAGTTCTGATCACTGTAGCTTTATAATACGGCTTGAAATCAAATGGTGTAGTGCTTCCACTTAATTCGTCCTTTTCAAAGTGTTCCTATTCTGGGTCTTTTGCATTTCCCTATAAAGTTCAAAATATAATGATCTGTATGTAGTTGTTATTACAGAGTGGAAGATCAGTCATTCTCAATGAATCATTTAGTTATTCTTTAGTCTCAGAATTAAAACAATACAAAACAAAAATTCGGGTGTCACACAATATGGACAACTTTAACTAGATAAATGATTTCAGTATTCTGTGCCAGCTAACCACTCTGCAACAGACATTTCATATCAGTTAAGGTTCTTCCGTTAGAGGCCCCAGGGAGGAGAAAGGGGTTTATTGGGAAAGTACTGAGTAGCTCGTAGCTGTGAAGGGTGAGCCACAGGAATGCAGGGCAGCTCTGAGAACTGGGCGCTGGACCCGAGGGCTTTATGATTTTTTTCCCCAGCCTGCCCTGTGTCACTGAGCCCATAGTCTGCAAGAAGGAAATGAACGTTCCTCACCAGCTCCACTCCGGAAAATTGTGGAAAGGAGTCTGGTCCAGCCTGGGCCATCTCCATCACTCATTTAATCACTACTAATCAACCACTACTGGGAAATGATTACTAATTAGACATTATTAACTAATCACAACTACTAATAAGGGAGATGGAAGATCCTAATTGGTCGGCTCTGGAGTTTGGATGTTGGGATGTGCTGTTTTCCCAAAGAAAGAGGTTGCTGTTAGCAGAGGGAGTATGGAAAGTACTGCTGGGTGCAGGACGGTGCCCATGGCCGTGTAGTGAACGGTGCTGAGGGAGGCGTGGCCTCAGAGAAATAGGCGACAACCAGCACGCTCTCAAACATCCCTGACACACATTCCCATCCAGCCTGTCTTGCCTACAAAGCTGTCCTCTTCGGGTCACTTAGCATATAATGTGTATCATGTAAGAAATGCCGTTTTTTTGTACCTGAAAGTTACTGAGAGAGTAGATCTGTAATGCTCTCAACACACAAGAAAAGACGACAATGTGAAGTGGTGTATGTGTTAACTAACCTTACTCTGGTAATCACTTCAAAGTATGTATGTATGTTAAGTCATAAAACTGTCCACCTTAGCTTACACAGGGTACCCAGTTGATTATATCTCAAGAAAGCTAGGAAAAGTAAGATTACCGATGACAGTTTAAAGAACTTTTAGAACTTGGTTTTTGTGTTGGTGAAAGTACTGCTGATAATGTTTTGATAGTATTATATGGCAGCCCATAATCTTCGTCTTAATATTTTTCTCTGCTTCCCATGCTAGCGTGACTGGGAATGGCAACGAGAATCGGCTGCCCGTGTCCTGATGGCGTTGCGTGTGCACTGATACTTCGTCTGTGATGGCATCCGAGGCTGAGAAGACCCAGGCCCTACTCCAGTCTTGCAGCCCCGAGTCTCTTCTTTCCAGCCTCGGGCTGGGGATCTTCTGCCTCATCGCTGACAGGCTCCTGCAGTTTTCCATAATCCAGCAGAATCCCTGGCTGCGCGCCCTCTCTGACAATGCCGTGCACGGCGTGATCGGCATGTGGTCCTGGGCAATCGTCATCGGAGTCAAGAAGAAGACCGACTTGAGAGAAATCATGTTGGCTGGATTTTTAGCCTCTGTTATTGATGTAGACCACTTTTTCTTAGCTAGATCCCTGTCTTTAAAGGTAAGAAGCATGTCTGTTTACTTTTGGGGTTCTTTCCTTTAATGTCGTTAGCTCCAATATATGGAACTTTGCAGCATCATTTTAGCTAGAGCTGTAGAAGGTGAGCTCTATTTTAAAATGAGATGGATGAGAAAGCCCATCATCCATCTGCCTCTTTTGAGCACTTTGTGTCAATGCTCCCCCGACGGTGCGCACAGGCAGCGGGGTCGTTCTCGGGGCTGTCCTGCCCTCCCTGTGTCCGAGTTCTTCTTCAGGACCACACTTACATTTGCCCGCATATTCTTCATGATTTATCCCTAACAGCTGAATGGCTTTAAGATGATCCCAGGCCTGGGGAGTGACTTCAGTGGATTCATTCTCGAGCCCCTCTGGGAACCACAGCTGTGCATTTCAGTGGGCTGGTCGGGACACAGTCCCTGGCGGAGAAGTTGCGGGATTTTGTTACGTCGTCGGGTTTAGCCATACAGTGACTGCTGGCCTTGCAAATGAACCTAGCGTAGCGTGGCAGGTCAGATAATACCTTCTGGTGTCAGCAGATTTGCCTACCTTTCACATGTTTATGATCTGTAAACATTTCATGGAAAGAAATATCAATTCAGAGCAAGGACTTCTGTCCCCACTGGCCTAGAACAGTGCCCGGCCCACCTCGTGGTGTTCCGTAGAGACTTGTTGAACGAAGGGGAAACGGTGGCCCCTTCTCCCCGTCCTGTGTCAGCATTGCACCAGGTGTCTCTCAGAGGCTGCCTTTCTGGTTTAGAGACTTGGCCAGTGTAGAATCGGTAACTCCTGACTAAAGACAAGTTTGGCTCTTTTTTGCTCTCTGTAGAACCGTGCAAGATTGGGGTCAGAAGTCTGAGTTTGGGTCGCGGTGTTGTGTACAATGTCAGCCACTCCTTTTCTTCCCTAAGTCCCAGCCTCCTCGTGGGTGGAATGCGGATTGTAACATTAACTGTCTCAGAGGGTTGTTATGAGGATCAAATGAGCAGTGACACTAGGCTCCTTAACAAATAGTGAGCAACAAACAAACATTAGAGACCAGGATGAGCTCCAGAATCCATCTCTCTTATTGCAATTTTTAAAGCTATGTGGGCTGTTTGCCCTGCTGATTCTTTGATTCATTTGGAAGCCATGGTGTTAAGACTGTAGGCCACGGGGTCAGGCAGGGGCCCGGCATCAGTTCCAGCTCTACCACCGAGCCGCCCAGCGCCGGGCAGTTGCTTAACCTTTCCAAGTCTCAGCTTCCTCTTCGTAAAATAATCTCGGGCTCATGGGACTATTATAAGAATTAAATGAGATAGTGCAGGTAAAGTATAGCATTGTGCTGATACTAATCCTTTTTTTTTAAATTAAGTAATTTCTTAAAGAGTTTATTGGGATGCCTTTGGGTAAAACCATACAGGTTTCAAACGTACAGCTCAACAAAGCGTCATCTGCGTGCTGCCTCGTGCGCCCATTCCCCACTGTCAAGTCTCTTCATCCCCAATTATCCCCTTTCCTCTCTCCCACCTCCCCCCACCCCCTTTTCTTCTGGCTGTCACCATACTGGTGCCTGTGTATTACTTTTAGATATATATACATATTGGGTTGGCCAAGAGTTTGGTTCTTTCTGTAAGATGGGGCTCGTAGCACTTAGCTGTCTTTAACTTCTTTGAAACGGTTTTGTCAGATTGTATTGTGACAGCTGTCATATCATGTGTGCTTTAAAAAAAAACATCAAAATTGGTGACTCTTTGCATAGCCATTTTAATGTTGTCGGTGGAAGAAATACACACTTTCGGCATATTATGCTTTATCATTTCAAGGAAGGTAAAAATGCAACTGAAATGCAAAACAGGATTTGTGCAGTGTATGGAGAAGGTGCTGTGACTGATGGAACGTGTCAGAAGTGGTTTGTGAAGTTTCGTGCTGGAGATTTCTCCTTGGACGATGCTCCACAGTCGGGTAGACTAGTTGAAGTCAATAGCGATCAAACCAAGACATTCATTAATTGAGAACAGTCAACATTATACCTTACAGAAAATAGCTGATATGCTCCAAATATCCAAATGAGTAAAGTTATTGGTGAATCTGAAAACTCTGTCTTTTATTTTACAAAAGAAGCTTAACAGACTTTTTGGCAAACCCAGTATCTTGCTTAATCACTTCACTTTTTTTTCGACCCGACCTCTTTATTGATCCTGGGTTTTGAATGAAGTGTGAACCTTTTTCCCGGCAGGCCGCACTGACTCTCCCGCAAAGGCCTTTCCTGCACTGTTCCACGGTGATCCCCGCTGTGGCTCTGACCCTCAAGTTCACAATGCACCTCTTCCAGCTCAAAGACTCCTGGTGCTTCCTGCCCTGGATGGTGTTCATGTCCTGGACCTCACACCACGTCCGCGATGGCATCCGCCACGGCTTGTGGCTATGCCCATTTGGGAACACTTCTCCCTTGCCATTCTGGCTGTACGTGGTAGTCACTTCGTCCTTACCGCACCTCTGCTCCCTGGCAATGTATTTCACCGGGGCCAGACACGTGATGTCTTCAAAGCACGGCATTCGCATCGACGTCTGAGCTGACCACGTGGCAGCCTGTGAGGAGCCCGGCTCAGACGGACAGTGAAGGGCAGCCCACGTTAAAGGGAGTTCTAGAACACATATTAGGTCCTCGCGTTAATTATGATAATTCCTGACTCCTCTTGCTCGGCAGGCATGGACACATTTTTAAAGTGGTGTACTTATCATTCTGCTTCTCCGTCTGTATGTAGTGCAGTGCTAGAGGTCCGTTTATTCCATCGTTTCTTCTGTCCATCTGGCTTTGCTAGCAGCTCTACTAGATCGACATCCGGTTAAGTTTTCTGGACGTATAGTTTTAAGGGAGTCTATTTCCTGATGAAAACCAGTTCAGATTTTAGGGGGACTGATTTGTGGAAAGTTAGCATTATATTTGGATCCTCGTTTTCCTGAGACGTGGAAGCAGTGGAACGGCCGTGTTAGTGAAACTGAATGAGATGACTAGGCAGTGCTCACACTTCCCTCTGCTGTGTGTGTGTCTGGACTGAACTTTAACTTGCCAGGTGCTTTAGTGCGTTGTGATTTCTGACAGAATCACCTTCAGTGGTCTTGTGAGAAACTGTCATGATATTCGTACATGACAGTAACTGACACTAGATCTAAGTTACTGTTCAGCAGTCACTTTAGGCCAGAGTAACATCTTCTTGAAGTGCTGTTTTTGGTGTCTTTGCCCCAAGATCTCACATGCTACGGTTTCAGCTGTTTTGAAAAGCATAACTAAATTTAACAAAACATTTATTAAAAATTAACATGAACAAAACATTGATATGTGGCTCATAACCATAGAATTTGAATTCACACCCAGAAAAGGACTTTCCAGTGATGTCATTTTGAATGTGAGCTCCTGAATGTGCCATCAGAATGGTGTTAGTTGCTGTCAATGTGTTTACACACTCTTCGGAAGTATTGTACCAGTTATATCATTTTCTTAAAAGTCTGCCTGATATTGAGGGATGACGCGTTTTTGTTCAAAGTAGTCTTAGAAAAGTTGATTTTTTCCTTTTTTTCTTTCAGGCTGACCTTCTGTCAAAAATGATTAGCCTTTATTAGCAAAGGGAATCTAATACTGTAAATTTTACATGAGCAGTTTATGTTACTTAGACATAAAAGTCCGCGCCGCAAAGGCACCGACTTTCGCGCACACACCCCACACGCATTCACTGGTGACTTTCGACGCTAGTGATTCTGTGCCTTCCTCTCTGAGAATCGGTGCGGCGAGGCCTTACTGATCTGAAGCAGACCTTTGTCATTAGGTTGAGTGGTTCTGTAAATTGTTACCAAGGCTCCAGGCCTTCGGTTTAGTTTTTGTTGTTGTTGTTGTTAACCAGTTGGTTGTCATCTATTATATTTTACAACTTACTGGGTCTTACAATCTGTCATTATCTTATGAGAGCAGTTATTGTATCCATTTGTTTGGTTTAATGGTAAATATTGTGGGGGGTAAATGAAGGTAGAGGTTTTTACAAAGCGTATGACTTCAGAAATCCATGGAAATAAAGTCTGTATCTTGTATAACTTTTCCTGACTAAATTATAAAACTCTACTTTTCTCTTTCTCCGTATTAAACAAAGGACTATCTTTAAAACATAGGGCCTTCCTTAAGAATGTCACAATGAAAATTTGGGTGTTGTTCTAACTTTCTTTATTAGAATGGGGGTTCACTTTGCCCGTGATGCTCTGCCTAAACAATTAAGTGTGGGCTCATCCTTGCTCTTACCACTGCCATCAGAAGTGTTTCCCGTCCCTGCAGTGGTCTCTGAAAGCTGTCACCTCTAGAAACACGGCAGCTAACCTCCTGTGCCCTGGTTCTGTTCCTTTTCTTAGTGAAAGAGTTTTTGTCACGACCTTAGCCTGACGGCTGGGCTGTGTCTCGTCTGCACGTGTGCCACGTCTGTCCCCTGGACGTCCTCCGTCCTCTTACCTGTCCCGCCTGCCCACACTGCCACCTTCCTGAGCCACACCGGGTCCGCTGTCTGCCCAGAGGCCTTCACCCTGAACTCAGCATCCCGAGCCTCGTTTTCCTTAGTTAAACCCACGCCTATGGGTTAAAAATTCCCATTTACCAGCCTCCCACCTGCACCCCATCAGGCAGATCCCCCCCGGGCTCTTTTCACTGGCGGGACACTTACTTAGTTTTGTCCTTTGTCCCATCCGAAGGGGACAGGAATAGGGGCTGTTCTGGTCTTTGCTCACCCTGTCACAGCCAAACCTTTTATCCATCCGAGTTCTCAGTTTTCTTCATTTGGTATCTCCTGCTGTTACTCCCCCAAACCCTCCTCACCCTCACACACACCCTCTAGGACCACTCCCACCTTGGACCACGTGAGCACTTGGGTCCCTTTTGTCGTCCGAGGTCACCCTCAGGCATCAGGGGGCCGCAGGAACTCCGGGCTTCAGTATTTCCCTCTTCAGCTGAGCCCTGACTCTCGTCACCATCACACGCCACCAGCCCTGCACCGTGTGGCAGGTCTCGTACCTCCCTTGCAGGTGCCGCTGCTCAGCCCCGAGACCTCCGACTGGTTTCTTTTTCCCTCCCAGAGCAACTAGCAGACGTCAGTGTCGCCTGTAAGTCAGGTTGAAGCAGGGATGGCTCGGGACCAGAGTTTTGGCGTAGACACCGAGAATTCGGGTTTCCAGCAGGTTCCCAGTGGATGCCTGTGCTGCGGCCCGGGGACCACACCCAGGAACCAGGGCTCTGCACCCACCCTGCTCCCTTCACTTCGTTCCCCTCCCTCCCCGCTCGTCAGTGAGCCCACTCTCTGCCTTTCTACGGCTTACAACCAATAAGCCTTTTCTGGCTTCACCTGGGACAGAAGAGGCATCACCAAATTAGCTGCAAAAGATACAGCCTTCCGCTTCCAGAGCCATTATCACAGGAGGCCGTGAAACTGATCTCCCGTGGAAATGTGGCAGACCCCCTAATCTGTTTCTGGAAAGGCGATGCTGGGGTGGAGATCTCCCCAGCACCCACAGGGCCACGCAGGAGAAGAGGACAGACCTCTTACAGACTGGGACCCCTGGTGAGTCAGTCCACACTCCCCTGATGGCCAAGGCAGAGAGAACGCTGCTTGTCACTTCGTGTCCCCGGCTCCCAGCCAGCTGGTTAGCCACCTGACTCAAGCCCTCCCAGCTGTGCCCCGGCTGGAGGGAACCTGAGAATATCCTCAGTGGTGACAGCCCCAACATCTCGGGACACAAAAACAGGGTGAGAGAGAATCTCACATTATGATTTTCCTCCCTGTGACTGTTTTCAGAAAGCTGGGGATCAGCAGGTACCCCGAACCAAATTCTTACGAGCCACAATCCCAACGCCTCCCGGAAACACTGGATTGAAGGAGGGTGTTCTCACTTCCCCGTGCGTCACTGTGCGTGCTCTGCGCCCTCTTCCGGAGGCCAGGACACACCCGGGCCGTGCGGACAGAAGAATCATGGGACTGTGCCTGGGCTCCCAGCGAAGGGGCGTCTGTCAGGCTACGTAAGCCGGGATGTCCTGACAAACAGTAACCCAGCCATCACACGTGCGGGCGAGTTTCCGCTTGGTTTCCTGCGGTGTCTCCTCTGGACTCAAGTCGCAAAGCTCTAGCCCGTAAGGGATTTCTTTGCCAAATAACGAATCCGCTCATCTCATTACGTGACTCCCCCAGCACAAAACTGCACTATCCCAGGACCTCAGGGAAATCTGATGACCTTTTTGCCTCGGTGCAGAATAGCTTATAAATCATTCCACGTGGGTGCAGGCCCGTAGTCTCGGGGTCTCCTGAGAAAAGACACTCGCCAATTCTCGCCAGTGGTGACTGTGTTAGTAACACCTGTTCCACAGGATGAAAGACAGACTGAACTTAGTTCTAATGAAGTCCATAGATGTGGTAAGAGGGGGCTTTTGATTTAGTCTTGTTATGAATTTATAGATATTATTTTGTTTATTAGGGTACTTTTTACCTCTCCCTTTTATCAAAAAATGCTTGTTTCTAATTGTTGCAAATTATTGTAAGTATCATAATTGCTGTTATAGAAATAAGTCTTTATTTAAATGTAAACCCAAACCACTGAATCTAATTAACATGTAAGATAAAACAGTAGTGAATTGTTCAGATTCTCAGTTTGGCACATTTTAGAAAGATCGAGACGACTCAGTGTTGGCAGGATGTGTAAAGCGAGTGGGCATCGTTGGTGTGGAATGGAACTTTTTTGCCAGAGGGAATTTAGTAATATGATTTTAAAGTCTAAGTCATTTTACCGAGGAATTCCAAATTCCAATGCTAGGAATTTATTCTGAAGAACTAAACAGGTATGTGTACAAAGGAGAAAGAATTTTGTTGGTTGCTGAAAATGAAAACACAAAGTACCACTTAAAAGCCTTTAACTAGAGAATTACACCCTGTTATTGAACAGTAGAATACTAACAGATGAAGCAGACCCATGTAATGATATGCAAAACCATCTGTATGAAACATTTAAAAACCAGTAGTGGAACAGTATGGTTTCATTTTTGTGAAATCGGTGTTTCCACTTTTCTATCATAAGCGCAGTTCTCAGGCTGCAGAGTGGGTCTGCTCTGACGTGAGCCCCGACACCCAGGGTCCTCGGAAGCCCGTGCCGCGGGTGCCGGCGTGGTTGTCCCAGTGGGGGAGCAAGCCGTCCACATGCTTCTGTGTCCCCGTGGACTCACCACCTCGGGTAGACCCACATGGCTCTGACGCACTTAACTGTGTGTCCCCCGACCCAGGGATGTTCCAAGACCTCTGTTAGAGCCACTCCCAGCCAGGAGGCCCAGAGGCTTCCATTCTGATCTGAGAAACTCCTATGAGGAATCATTGCATTTGCACAAATCCACAGCATTACCACACATGTCCCCTTGGCATTTGCTCACTTACCGGGAATCATGATAATAATTAATGAGTTTCTGAAGCATTTTACAGTGTTGCTTGCCCTTGCCAGGAGTCGTTGTGTTACCAAACAGAGGTCCGGGGGGGACAATATGTGGCCCACCAAGGGATGCCAAAAACTGTTACAGAAAACAAGGGCCCCTCCCAAGGACGGTATACTAATACCTACTGGGCTCATCTGTCCGCCACCGGAGGAAAGACATCTCTCAATGCCAGAGATTTGTGAAAAGGAAAGGAAAGATTTATTCAAAGCTATACAGACTTAAAGTAGTGACCCAATGTCCCCATAAAAAATATCAAAGTCCTTTAGGATAACTACCGATGCCCACAGCACTTCCTTCTCCCCCTGCCCTAATTCCAGGTACCGTATCTCAGGAAAAGAAGCACACGTCCATGTTTCCAGGTCACTGGCACTGTCAGCTGTGTCACTGTCCAGGCAGGATCTCTAATTACTCCAAAGCCATGTGGCACCCTCTCATGGTCCACTGGCAGAGAGTTCTTTCACCCTTCTTCCAGGCAAAGTCTCTCCTGCTTCCCAGGCCAGGGAGCCAAAGGGGGCATCCCAAAGCCATGTGGTCCTCTTCTACCAAAGCTGCAAGGGTCCCCACTCTGGCAAAACTGCATGGCTGTCTCCTCAATGGCTACCGCGTCTGCATTTAAATCCCTGCGCCAGTCCTTTGCAGCCCCATTTCCGACTCCTCCCACAATCAGTTACACCTGCCAGGACTCCCGTATCCTCCCAGCTTTACTGGGCTGCCATAGTGAGTCTGGGCAGGTGTGGCCCCATGGCATGGAGCCAGTCAACTCCAAGCACTCACACAGGCACTCACTCAGGGGACCAGCCCCCAGTTACATCCTGGGTGGAAGTCACTCCCTTCTCCCTGGCTCAAAGCATGGCCACAGCTATTTAACATATCTATGAAACCAGTTAAAGGTTATAGATATGTTAAATGACCATTCCAGAGGTTAGCTATGAAACTGTTGCTATGCAAAACAGCTCTCAATGGCCCTGCTCCATTTGTCCCATCCCCCAACTGATACCTGTTGGGGGAGGGGGAACACATCTTAATATTTCCCGGACACCCTGAGCTCTGGCCCCCATCCCAAATTCTTTTCTGGGGCCCCCTCTTGGCTGTGCCCCGTTTCAGTTGGGTTTACATACCCAGCAGCACTGACTGATGTCACTTTGAGGTCTGGGCAGCCGTCCAGTCCCATCAGCTCCATAATTACCTGGACACGTGCTTTCATCTTCCTTACATATCTGTGTGTTATTAAAGCACCCACCTGAATTCACACACCTTTACACATTCAATACGGATTTGACTTAATTGCTTAATTAAGAGCACTGGCCAGGTGCCCAGGTCAGCAATACCATCCAATCACACAAAGGGGAAGGCAGGGAGAAAATTTTCCCTAAATATTTGGGTGGTGCTAAATAGAGCATAAAATGTGGACTAGCATTCCATACCCGAGGGCAGGCAGTGTACCTCCTCAAAATGTCAGTGGTCATACCTCACTACCCTCAGCTATTTCACAGTCACGGGGAGTGGCTGGAGCTTTTTCAGGCATCAATAAGAGGCCAGTTATTAGGACCACATTGTAAGCTGTGTGGCCCCATCTTGGAGATCCACATATAAATACACTTCCTTCTTACAGACCTCCAGGGTGTTTGCCTGGAACAATAGTCCCAGTGTTAGGCCTGGTTTCTTGGCCAGCAGAGAAGCTGATGTTCCTCCGCATCCTGAACAGACAGGCACCAGGCTGCCCCTGGCCAATCCGGCTTCCCAGAGAGGGGCAGGCGCCCGAGGCCAGTCCCAGGGTATGAAACTCAAAGCAAATCACTGTGCGAGCCACATGCCCCCACCTCGACATATCAATTCAAGAGAAATGGGATGGAAATGACTTCCAGGGATCTTTGAAAGGGTAAAACTACTACAAAAGAGTGAGAAGAAAGCATACAAGAGAGGGGAAGCTGTGTGGCCCACTTAGAGGAGTGTGTGTGTGTGTGTGTGTGTGTGTGTGTACTGTATTGTAACAAATACAGTAACAAATTACCATAAACTCAGTGCTTCAAGACAAGACAAACATTATCTGACAGTTCTTATGTTTGAAATCCAGCACCGGTCTGCCTGGGCTAAAATCAGGCATCAGCGGGGCTGGCTCCTCCAGAGTCGCAGGGGAGAATCGTCTCCCCTCTTTCAGCTTCTGCACGCCTCCTGCACTTGGGCTCATGGCCGCCTCCTCCCAATTCAATCGAAGCTGGCAAAGGCCAGCTCGGTTTCCTTCTCACCTGGCATCTCCCTGGCCCTCCTGCCATAGTCACGTCCACCTCAACCCCAGCTGGGAAGGTTCTCTGAGTTAGGGGCGCATGTGATTACTTGGGGCTCACCTGGATCACCCAGGCTAAGCTCTTCATCTCAGGGTTCTTAGTCACATTACAAAGCTTCTGGGGCTACATAAGGTAGCCTATTGACAGGTTCCAGGGATTAGGATGGGGGGGATCTTTGGGGCCAATATTCTGTTTACCCTTATTTTTAATTGTTGTTTTGTTGGTCATGGTTTTGTTTGTTTAATATGAGCTGCCAAGCCACCCACCCCACCTTCCCACGACTGCTATCCCGAATCCTGTGCCCTGGACCAGAATCTAGCCCGGCTTCAATCTAGCCTGGCTGCCTTTGGACCAGTAACTCATCCTCTTCGAGCTGACGAAGGATAGGCCAGGTGCTTTCCAAGACCCCCTCCCACGCTGTCTGTAATGCCCAGACTGGTCCCAGCAGCAGTGGGTTCCTCGAATTTTGGGGAAAGGCCCTTGAACTTGTCTTGCCAGAGTTCAATTTACTCTTGGGATAATAATGTCCTTCTCTTCCCCTTACCATTAATGCTTACGGTTCTGTCACTCTTCTGCTTTCTCCGTGTAGAATTATTGAATCTTTATGCAAACCCTTTCTCTATTCTCCATTTAAAAATTAAGATTTCAGTTCCATATAAGCCTCGGCCAGGTAACCGTTCCTAGCTCCTGTGGGTAAAAATGAATACAATGCTTGCCCTCACATAACATTGGTTCAGCAGCTACTGAACAAATGTTTAATGTGTTCCTTGGCCACAGTCTGTGTGTTAAAGACCAACGTTCTAATGGTGAAAGAGACACGGCCTCCCAGAAGAACGCCGGGTTCCATGGTGGGGGGGTTGGCCATACAGAGACAGGACAGTTTGGGACAGCGTGGTAAGTGCTATTGTAGCAGCAAACACGGGGCCTCTGGGGCCCCTGGGGAAGAAAGAGCAGGTTACTGAACACTAAGAGCAAAGCAGGAGGGCTCCAGCAAAGGGGGGGGGTTGTTCAAGGGAGGGGTGGAAGATCCTCAGAGGGGAGGCAGGGGCTCGGCCTTCAGGAAGCCCGGAGTGGGGCTGCGGGTGATGCGCATTGCTGGAGCGTGTGTTTGGGTGGGAGAGGGGCTTGGAGGCAGCAGGCTGACGTGACCAAGGACGGGAAAACCGCCCACCGCTGCAGGAGCTGGCCCGGTAACCTGAGGGCGCTGTGGGAACGAACCCCGAAGGGTTGAAGCCTGCGGCCTGCTGGGTCCGGTCAGCCTTCCTTTCTGGAAGCTGTAACGGAGCTGAATCCTAGAGCCCCGGGCATTTCACTTGGTGTCTCACAGGCCTGTGTCCTTCCCATCGAGAACTGTCGGAGGACAGAGGGGTAGCAGCACTAAGATGCCTTGGATTCAGTGCCAGTTACCTCCAAACTGGGGCTGCTTACAATCTGAGAGTAAAACACTAGGAAGGCTATCGAAGGAAAATCACCCCTCCCTTCACCAGATCAGGAACGTGGTCCCTCTGCCCTGGAGGGTGGCCTTTGCGGATGACGTCCAGCCTCCCTGCACGGAGCCCTGGACCATCACAGAGCCTGGGACGAATGCGCGGGGCCCGCCTCTGTGCACATCCCGCTCCCTCTCTGGAAGCCTTTCCCTTCCCCACGCACACGTCTGAGCAGCTCTGGCTCCCTCCAGACTCAGGTGTGTGCTGTGCGTACACCATCTCCCGCCTCTCAGTCCTCTCATGGCAGAGCTACGGCTCCAGCGCCCTGCAGTCCTCTGTGTCCTTCTGTCCTCCAGTCCTGTCATCACAGCGTGATGTGGGGCAAGGCCCAAAGGCTCATCCTGTGCGACCCTTATTCAGCCGCTGGGGGAGAGGCCTTCCAATTCGAACACATCTGTGCAATTATCATTTATTATTTGTTTATGTAAAAGGCTCAGTGCTCTCTCAGGAAGGGAGCCCCAGACATTAGTCGACAAGAAACCAGGGCAAAGACATGTTGGTGAAGGGAAAGGACTCACCAGGGATTCAAAGGGAAATTCATCTGTGGTGCTGAACCCACCACAGCCCTTCACAATGTCTCCACCTTTGGCTGAGCAGCCGTAACTGGGCAGAGGCAGAGAGGCCGGGGGTGCAGAATCTTTGGGTCAGCAGGAGGCACCAGTGAGGACCGAGGATGATCTCCCAAGGCAGGGGCCAGTGCCTGGCTGAGGGCGCACGGAACCCAGAGCAGGGAGGGAGAGCCGGGAACTGATGCCCCCACCC